GGGGGGGGGGTTGGTAGTTTGTTTATTCCAGTCGACATACCTGTTTCTAATTGTTGAGGGCTCTTATACGGCGTTGCGAAATCCTTGGGGATGGGGGGCTGCTTTGAATCGAATCACATCAGCATCGTATGGCGGGATTGTTTTGATGCCAGTATATCTATTATGCCAGTTTAAGTAGTCCTACTTTCCGGGCTAGCACATATCTTAAATAATGCGGAATCATCTTGCCACCGATCGTTCGCAGCCATTCTGAGATAATATATATGTATACCGACAAGAAAATGAAGTCGTAATAGCCTCCCCCAGTCTACCCATCCGTAATCCCGCAACGGGTACAGTTATCCTCCATAGAAACTTCAATATTCCCAATGCAAAGGTGCCCAGGATGGCTAGGTCGGCGAGTTTGCTTCTCTCGTCCTCCTCGTTTTGTGAACCGATTTGTTTTCGTCATGAGTCATATAAGTCATAAGATCATAAGTAGGGTGGGACGTTGTTCATCATGGCGAACTCTGATGTGAGACACCACACCCCGTTCCCCTTGCATAGTGACGAGCCGCTTAATTCTACTCGTGCATGGTCATAAAAATGAAACAGAAAAACCCCCTTTTCTGGAACAGCTCAACCTGTCTGGTTCCAAGTTGAAGACAGCCAGGTATCGTTCAAAAAGAATTCTCATTAGCCTTGCCTTTAACATCCGTATTACGGAGAATGCTTCGGAGGCTTCCCTCGGCGCGCCCCGAGGACTTGCTTGAGGCGTCAGATGACTTCCAAGGGATCCAGTTCCCAAAAGAAGTCAATAGGCTGGGTTCTTGGTCAAGGTGCGATACTGCCCCCTTGGCGGCCACAAGTCTCCCAATACTCTGCTGGCCAGAAAGCAAACATTGCCGGTCGCGCTGAGAGCCTGGTCCCGAAGCCGAGCCTTCAGGACCGGTGCGAATTTCAAGCTGGCTAGTTGAGGCCTGGGGGAGGGCAGGCTCGCTAATTAGAGCACCCGAAGAGTTTCGGGGAGAAGACGAGTCCATTGGTGCTGAGCTTTGACCTGTGCCATCTATAAGGGCCAGAGACATTGACTTTTTTCGCTGCATTGTGCTTTTTGGCCCTTTGTCGTCTTGACCACGGTTCTCAAATGCGTCGCTATGCATAGAACTGGTTGGTGTTGTGGTTTCGGACTCCCTTCTAGCGGTCCGGCCACGAACCTGGTTGGCCAGCTCAGCAGCCGACTTCTTCTTGGATACCTCGTCATCGGACGATCGGCTGGATGATATGATTGTTTCTAAAGTTCCCATGGCCCGGCTGCTGGGACGCGCGCCATGCCGCCTTCTGCGATTTCGTTTCATATTCTGTTCGTCATCGGCTGACACAACTTGAAGTGTTGGGCCCTGAGTATCTTGACCAGAACCAGGACCTTCAAGAAAAGAAGAGCCTGAACCATGTGGGGCGTAATGAACCTCATACTGGTTGCTGAGAGAATACCTCGACTTGGCACAGATCTCTGCGATGCGATCCAAATCGGCATTGATGTCGGATCGCCCTTCTTGAGGTTCGATATTGGAGATGAAGTTCTTGAAACTGAACGCGTCTACGGGTGGAAGCCTCGCCTCGCTATGAGCATCTATGGCGAGCTTGCTCTCGCGAGCGCGGACCATTCGACTCAACATCCCAGTCCCGGCTGATGAAATTGCTGCAAATGGTAGGACTGATCTTTCTGAAGTGGTAGAGCCCCCGCGTGGAGGGATAGTTCCAGAACTAGGATTATGGAAGTTATTGGCAGGGCGGTTCGGCACGGGGGAGTAGTAACTGCGAACGATGACTGGTTCCGAATAAGTACTACTCTGAGCTCCAGATGATTTAGCGTAGCGATGCCGACTTGGGAAATTGTTGTTGAGCTCTCTCAGGGCAGATGTACGGTGCTGTGCAGTCGAGTCGTCAACGGGGATAGGCTTGCCCTCGGCAGTGGATGGTACAAGGCTCGTAGAGGAGAGATTGGCTTGGTGGGCTCGGATGAAGGAGTAGGGAAAGGCACTTTGGCGCGAATCGGCGGCCGGGCGGCTTATGGAAGAGGAGGCATCAGATGAGTTTCGTTGATGCTGTCGAGGAGGTCGTGTTTGAGAAGGTGGGGAGGGAGGAGACTCGTATGGCTGATCTGAAGACATGGCGATGAGTACCACCGAGGCTGTTTATACACTTTTACGTGGCAGGGTCCAGTGCTAGGATCGAGATGTCTTTGACTAGAGGAGGGGAAACTGGCGGGTCATCAAGAGTGACGTCGGTGTGTCGGTGTTGTGCTGTCTTGCAGGGGCATCGCTGGCCAGTGTCCGCGTCAGTGTTGTGATGCCCGTATTGTGGAAAGACGGGATGTAGAAGAAATCCTGCCGCCAGCAGCAGTGACTCGAAGCTTCTGCTGAAACCGGAAACAAGCAAAAGTCTCCAGCAACAGACCGGGGCGGAAACAAAGAGCCGACAATGTAACAACAGGCAAGAGCCAAATCTGCAGAGACGGCCGTGCGAACTGTTTGCCGGGGTATGGCAAATCGACGGAGTTGCAAGTATGGAGTAGTGTGTATTAGATACGACGACACTTTTGTCGAGGATTTGGGGAAGTCTTAGACAGACCACGACGGGGTTCTGGGGGTGCAGTTGAGGGTGGGGCGGGGGAGCTTTGGTTGGCGGCACAGCAAACAGACGGTGCTAATTTAACATTGGCCCAGAAACTGGCCAACGAGGACGCGCGGAATGGGAGGACAAGAGACGACGGGCGAGGATTGGCACGACTTTCGACGAACGAGAGACGGCCAATATTGGGAGGGGAGCGGAGGTGTTTGATGCAAAGTGTCGTGGCTGCCGATGACTCGCAAACAGCAACAAGAGCCGGACAGGGCCAGAGGAAATGGTTGTTTCTGGGAGGGGCGGAGATGCCCCGCTCTGTCTCCAATTGGCTGCTTTGAATGGCCGGACGCGGTTTGCTGGCGAGACGGTCCAGGGTCGTTCCCTGTCTCTGCCATCAACCACATCCAGTATGGCTGATCTTGTGCCTGTGGCTAGTCTGAACCAGCAGGGCGAGACGAGCTAAGCTTCACCAGGCGTCAAGGCGAGGAGGCAAGCAGGAAGCCGGCACTGATGAGGCGGATTCATCAATAGCGAGCGCTACTGTCGGGAGAGAACAGTCAAAAGTCCCTTGTTCGACCTTCCGCCGCTCCCTGTTCCGAGGGCAGCCTCGGCCGTGCTGGATGCTGTGCTTGCTTGCTGTCTGGTGTGTTGTCGGTCCTGTACGTATCTACATGGGAGGTGGGGTTTGTGTCAACCACCGAATACGACCTGTCGTCCGGTCCAGCTGTACTAAGAATTTGGCTCTTGAAGTAGCAGGTCGAAGTCATGCTATTCATTATGGCCTGGCGTGTGCTTAGCTGTATGCAAGCAATGTATTGTACGTGTACGCAATCGGTCAATCCCAGTAATAATTGCCTCTCACTATTGCCTCCAGATAGTACAGCTTCCCTGATCAGCGTCCTATTCACCGAGTACCTACTTGGCGGCAGCGAATTGCACCTTCGTCCGTTTCACTCTTTGCTTTCGTGACGCAGGCCCCTTCCAGAACGGCAAGTGCTCAATCTTCTGCGTGGTGAAATTCATGCGGCTCGGACGAGAACCCACTATAAATGCCAGAGCAACAGATGCCCATATCTCGCCTTACTGACCTGGACCCCTCTCGGTATTCAGCTGTTCGGGACAGATGGATTTGTTTCCTCCCCGCTAGATCGAGGGGAAATATTGCTATCGACATCCATGGATGCTACAAGGCTTAGAAGACAATGGTGGTATGCAGTGCGGGGCCGCGGAAGCAAGCCTGTAAATTCGGTTTGCGTATAGTACAACCTTGGATCCTTCGAACAGATACCCGGAAGTTCTCGAGGGGTCCTTTTCGACCCTCCACTACATCTTCCCGCAAGCACTATGTATGTGAGCGCCTCTCCCCTCTTCCCCCCAGTTTGACTCATATACACACCCTTGTGGGCGTAGGTACGCCACGTACACGGTGTGCTATGCCACGTTGTCTTCCAGGTCTCGATTGCGGCAAGGGTGTTGAGACGAGACATTGTTCTGTGTGGTCCCCTTTGCGATCGGCACGCTGACACTCGCCGATGAGGTGTGCGCCGGTCTGACCCCTCCTGCAGATAGCAACCTCAAGGTGAGACTTGTATAGTGTGCATAGGATCCTAGGAATCCCGGTTATTATATCCAAACTAGCCAAGTCGCTTGTCTCTCCTCCTTCTCCCCAATTTTAGCGTCCTTGGCGAGGCGGTTTGTAATGGACGAAGGTCAATCGCCCACCATCCTCCAGAGACATATCAAGAGCAATTGATCAGGCCATATGCTTTCTTTACCGCAATCGACTAGTGTCTCAATGGATGCCATGGATTGGATAAAAAACACCATTATTAACTATAAATAAGGTAAGGCTAGCCTAACATTACAAAGACTTCGGAGAGGAAGGAGAAAACTATGGTTGGCAAGGACTCGCTACCGCCGTTTGTTTGAGACCCAGCTGGGTCACCCGGAAAGGATGCCTTCCGGAATCCTAGATCTCGCCAGAACACCGGTGCTCATCTCATTCCATGGGTAGGTGTGTTCAGCGTATTGGCTGAGCCATGGTACCGTACCCTACGCCACCTGTCTGGACACGTTCAGAATACACACCAGGTGCTCTGCGCATCGCAGTGTTGCCGTGGTGCATCTGCTCCCGCCGGTCGTAGTAAACGAACAGAAGGTAAAATGCGTGAATGTGCCCGGGGATGTACCCAAGGAGGGTGAGGCAGATGTTGATTAAAAGGTCTGGGTGTCAGGTTAGCAATTCAACCAAATAAAGGCGGAATACCGCGTAAGACCAACTCACCTGCACCGCAACCAGCGATGAGGAAAACCCCGAGGGGCGGGACTAAGCCATCTTGTCAGTGGTGCAAATCACCCTTTCATAAAGCATGTGCCAACTCACAGAGGATAGTGAGGAGAACCAGGCAGACGGCCGCGACAGCACCCATGATTACTTTCCTGAGAGTGGATGGATAGGTTGTAGGGTAGATAAGTCTCAGTTCTCAGCGTAGTGAGAGACACAAAGTGGGTGTACTAGTAAGAAGCGCGTAGAAAAGATGAGTTGAAAAATGACGGTTGGTTGGCGGTTGGAATAACTTCGAAGGGTGGAACAAAAATAATGCTGGAACACACTCGTACCACTGAGAGTGCCTTAAAAGCCAATTCTGTGATTCACGGCTGCGGCCGGCAGCGAGCGTACGTAATGACGTATACCATCGCATGACGCACCGGGAGGCAAGATGCAAGCGTTGGCCGGCGACATGCTATACTGCAAATCATGTGAATGCCGTTGAACTAAGCCGATGGCCCTGGCAGGATCCAGAACTCTTCTAGAGCAACGTCCCACACCTGGAACTATCGCTTTCCGATTCTTTCCCAATCACTGCCGTTACCCGTGTTTCCTTGTCGCCGTGGAGTTGAACTAGAGCTGGCCAATCGAGCGACACCGCTGACTGGTATAGCAGCATCAAGGTTTTGGGTGGCAAGGTAGACAGCCAGCGCTGGGGACGGAAATTTCGGACTCTCTTATTTCGCAACTCATTTTTTTCTCCTGACTTATGTCTTTCATGCTTCCTAGCGACACGCTTTGTTGTCGCCACATATAATTTCGGCAGCACGCTGGGTAGTACGCTTATGATGTACGACCTAATAGGCTGGCCGGGCTTACTGAGGCTCATAAATTAATGAGCCGCCAAGGTAACACAGCCTACTACGTACAACAAGGGTGCCATAGTTATGCAGCTGACGCCTCAGCAACAACTGAGCACTCTTGATAGTTATGTTATTTTCGCGCGGACAGCTGGCTTCCCTTAGCCTACGAGAAGAGGTTCTGTTGAGCCCAGGCACAACCGCGTCATATGGAAGAGAACTAGCACGGCAGAAATCATTGGCCTAAGAGGCACCCGGTTTCCAAGCACTTAACTACTAATTGCTGGCCTGCCTAGGTAGCTTCTGGTATAGAATAAATCCTAGGGGCCCGTGACACGAATAAACCCGAAAATATGGACCCGAGGCTCAACACTGGAATATTCACAAATAATGCATCCCATTGGTAGGTAGGGCTGCCAGCGCGGTACATTCCTGGACGCCGCGCACTTAGGCAAAAGGCATCCTAATAACTGAAATGCCTCCTTGCCTGGCATGTCTACTACCTTGCCTAGCGATGTGATTGGGACTGGTATTAATATTGAGGGGGGATAGGATTTTGTGCCACCGAAGTGCCCGCAACCATAATACTATGTACCTGGAATTATCACATTATCCATCCATCCATCCAGGAGAGGCACAGTACCAGCTTTCTGGAGGAGTCCTGGCGCGGGTGTACCCCTGGTTCTTTACAGGTGGATGGGATGGGTCTGGCAGCGGCCCACGGCATGCTTACCAGTTGGCCCAGTGGTCACCTCTTTTTTACGCGGTTTTAAATCCCATCTACTGTGCTAATATTAAACCAACTCAAGTGAGGTACCTAGCACCGCTAAGGCATCTACCTGATTGCTGGGTATCTATCCAGCCGAGAGCTGCTGCTGACCCTGACACTCAACCTCCAATCTGATGTTTGATGTTACAGAATCACTCTTTCTTTTTACCCGCTGCTCAGTTTTCTCTTTTGCCTCAATTCGCATACCGCACAGTCGCCTTTTGGCAATTAGGAAGAGGGCCACAGCTGCTCCTGGAAACGTGCAGACGGGCCCGGTGTTGAGGCCCAGATACCTGGACCGCTTGTACAGGAGCACCTATATTGGCGCCCTCCCTAGGTACCGCTGTATTACCGCTGTACCGCTGTTTCGCCGCACCGCCGCACCACCGCTATCATCGCCATGCGCTGGGAACAGCCACAGCGGTTGACTCGTTGATCGGTTGCCTGTGCGAAGCCGTACTGGTACACCCCCACATCCTCCACCAACGGTTTGCTTCCCTGTGGCGGGCACCTCCTGAAGCTTTCGACGCTTGGTGGCCTTCTTTTTGAAACCTCAAACCATCCTGATCAGGACATCCTCACAACCACCTCCCCATCCACCACTCAGCATCTCCCGCCCTGCCTCCTGTTCCTCCCACGAGCCGGCTGGGTCACAGGCTGCAGCTCTTCTTGCATTCGTTGGCAGATTGACTGATTTCCCACCAAGCGGGCTGTCTGGTTGTCTACACCGACCGCTCTAACGGTCCCTCCAGTCGCTGTCGAGAGTTGCCGTCCGCATCGCCCAACCGACTAGCATCATGTCTTCGCAGCCGCTTCCTGCGTTTTCCGTCGACCGCTACGTCGTCATCCATGTTGCGACCACCTGTGACGAACACGGCGTCTATGTGACCAAGGATTCCGCAGAGGTCATCGAACTTGGATGGATTTTAATCGATGCCAACACTCTCGAGGAGGTCAGTATCTTCTCACTTCCTCGTGGCGCTGCCGATGCCGTTACCTATCCTCTCTCGTTGCCTCAAGCTGACTCCGATTTTTGTATATATAGCTTGCCCATGAGAGTGTGCTTGTGAAGCCTGTCAACACCCCTATCACCCCATTATGCAGTAAGTTGCCAAGTCCTGCTAGCTCCTGACGTGTGCCGTCTCCAATTTCGTGCCCTCGGCTTGCCTTTCCTCCTCGCCAAATTCAAGTGCGAATTCCGGACCCTTCCAGCTTCAATTTACTGACAAAGCGTCTTCCGCAGCGAGCCTGACAACTCTCACTTGGGAACATGTCCGAAACGCGGGTACCTTTAGAGATGCTATCTCTCGATTCGACACGTTTGCCATTGAACACCTGACGTCCAAGAACCTCGATTTCGTCTTTGTCACCCTCGATGCCTGGGACCTTCGTGTTCAGCTTCCCCGTGAAGCTCGTGACAAGGCGGTTGTCCTCCCTCCATACCTGCAGCACTCCCGTACCTTCGATCTGCGAACCGAGTACCAGCGATGGCAACAGCACCACCCCGAATCACTGCCGTTTGGCCCCTCCATGCTATCAAATATCTGTGCAGCTCTAGAGGTAGAGCCCGTGCAGTCGAGCGCGCCTATCAAACACAACCTGCCTTTCCATCTGCAGGCTTTGGCCCCGGCGTCCCCTCGACGTGCCATGGAAGAGGCCATCACACTCGCTAGGGTTCTCCGTGGCTTGATCCGAAAGTCGCAGCCGCGACAGGAGCACCCTGATGTTCTGTCCAGGCCCATGGATGCCCGTGCTGATGTTCGTGCATTCTTGTCCGAGAGAAGCAAGGTTCTTCACATGTCCGGTCTTCCTCATGATACCACCCAATCCGAGTTGGAGAGCTGGTTCACTCAGTTCGGTGGCCGCCCGATTGCTTTCTGGACTCTCCGCACTCCCGAACAGCACAAGCCTACCGGTACCGGCTTCGCCGTGTTCTCCTCTCATGAGGAAGTAAGTTTACCTTCCACACTCAGCTTGAGACTCAGCTGCCTTCTCATCTGCTGCTGCAACCTGTGTGCAACCAATGAAACTAACCGTCTGCTGCCTAGGCCGCCGAGAGCTTATGTATGAATGGACGTGCCCTCAATGAGAAAGCGATTGAAGTTTCTCCATCGTCAAGTCGGGTCTTGGATCGTGCCCAGGATATTCTCACCCCATTCCCTCCCAGCAAAAACCGACCTCGCCCGGGTGACTGGACTTGCCCCTCCTGCGGTTTCTCGAATTTCCAGCGCAGAACGGCTTGCTTCCGATGCTCTTTCCCTGCCGCCGGGTCTGGACCTCAAGGCGGTGCCGATATGGGAGGGCCTGGCTCCTATAACTATGGCTATGGCCCTCCAGCTATGGTGCCGCCCCCTCATCACGGTGGTCACCACGGACATATGGGCCACGGTGGCCGCATGGGTGGCAGCGGTGTCGTTCCATTCCGTGCCGGAGACTGGAAGTGTGGAAATGAGGTTTGTGGTTATCACAACTTCGCCAAGAATGTGTGCTGTCTTCGATGTGGTGCCAGCCGTGCTGGTGCTGCTGTTGTCGCCGACTCTGGCTATCCCTCCGGCATGGACAACTCGTCTCAGTACAGCGTGAGCCAAAGCTCAATGGCCGGAACTCCCGGACCCGGACCCGGCCCTGGACCTTTTGCTTCTGGCAACTCGTTCGGCTCTGGCGCTGGCGGATACAACCAGCATTTCGGCGGTCCACCAAGCCACTTCTTGCCCTCTGGTCTCGCTGGCGGTGCTGGTGCATACCCCAGCTCCTTGAACACTCAAGGATTTGGTCCTGCTCCTGGTGCCCAGTCGGCTGGACCTTTTGACAGTCGAGCTGCCGAGGCTGCCTTCCAGTCTGCGACCAATGGACCTGCCTCCGCAGGACCCTCGAACAACTTTTACAACAGCAGCAACAACGGTGGAGGCGAGAGCGACCCGTTCGCCTTCCTTTCTAGTGGAATTGGTGGGCTGTCAGTGAGCGGCAGCGACGGTCGCCAGAACGGCAGCTCGGCTCCTCCCAGCAAGTCGCCTGCTTAGGCTGACAACGCTGGTTGTCCCACCTGAGTCCGAGGGGTTCACTCCCACGGTATTATCAGGCCTCATTTCGGCATTTGATCGGTCGCTTCTGATTTTCCTGCTGTCCACGGAAAGGCTTTGGGGTAATGAACATAGATTGCATTTTGACCTTTGCCAGATACCTTTCCGGATGGACTGGAACCTTGCTTGGTTTCTACAAGAAGGCAAGGTGTGGGCTTTACAGTGTGTTTGGTATTGGAAGGTTGGATCGGAGTGATGGATTATTCTTGTTTTGCTGGCGAGCATGGGTGAAATAAAAAACGGTGGGATGGCTGGAAAACGAAAAGTGACACTACTATTTTACGGCTGTTCTGGGCCGACGACATGTTTTATCGGCACAGTACCAGCTGCGAGAAATTGTCTCTCCCGCCGACAAGGCCTGTTCTTATTTTTTTTTCATTCCACTGGGGATGACTGGGAAGGGGGTCCGGCTTTGGTTGATTCATTTGGGACATGATATATATTGCTGGAATCATTGTTCCGGACGTGCGGGTGCATAGCGAAAGGAGTGAAAAAGGGGGGAGGGTATTTTCTCGGCCGCGTTCTCTGACTTGAAAACATCAAACAACTATTTTTCAGTCCGCCCGGGTTGTGTTCTTTATTTTTTCGCTCGGCTTTCCACCGCTCTTCATGTCATTTTCTCTCATCGTGCTTTCTGTCTCATCTCTCGAGTCATTTTTCTTTTCTTTTCTTCCACTGCCTCTATTCCTCTCATTCTCATCATTGGGAAATCGCAATTCACCTTTGTGTGTGTTTCTCGATAACCCAGTTCTTCAGACCTTCATATCACTTTTTGTGTTTTCATTTTCCTTTTCTCTCTATTTTGTATGCTTCATTTGGACGCGCGGACATCTGGGTAAGCGGCGGAGTGCTCTACACGGAGGGAAATATGGCGAGGGAGTCGGGGAGCTCTTTGGAATCTGGAAACCTGGCCGGCTGGTATATATGCCTGCTGGACGGTGCTGGGGTGTTTTTTTTTCATTGAATGCCGATACCTCACCACACATAAAACAATCATGGTTCTTTTTCGGGGAGAGACTAGCAGGGGAAAACATGTCTTCCAGGGCTTTGGTGTCAAAGCGAAGAAGAAAGGATAAGGGGGAGGGCCCGTGGAGCCGGAACTTCGCGCTTTATGTCGATAATCTTCTGTGAACTTTTCTTTTTTATAAAAGGGTTATGCCACAGATAATGCGTGCGTGCTTCAAACGGAGCGGATGGAGAGGGCGGAGGCATTCTATCCATGCTTCCCCTCATACTATATAGAGATCTTATCTGTCAGAGAAGTCCACCGCATGTTGTTTGTGATGAGGAAAATTGATCTCTTCTTTTTATTACATAATGGTCAGAATACAATGTGCCAGCTGCTGTTTATATCACGATGGCCACCCTTGATTTTATTACACTCCTCTTACGTACAAGCCTGACCTTTCGCTTAGAGGTCCTCCATAGCAGCATCCTCATCCTCGCTATCATCGTCGTTGGCCGTAGCTGCATTTTCGTCTTCTTCGTCATCAACATCGTCGTCGTTATCCGTAACTGCATTTTCGTCTTCTTCGTCATCATCATCGTCGTCGTCCGCAGCTGCATTTGCGCCTTCCACAGCGAGGGCCGTGGCTCTCTGGTTCTCTCTTTCTCCGAGCCACTCCTCCCAGTCAAAGCCATCCTCAAATTGATCATCCCCATATTCCTGCCAGGCTTGAGCACACAAAACCTCGTCCTCATCGAGTTCAGGAGCCATTCCAATAAGAGCGGTGCCGATGAAGCTTTGCCATCCCTCCTTATCACTGACTGGAGGGACTGTCGACTCGCGGTCTGCTGGGCACGGCGGCATCACGTAACCGCGGGCAATCTCGTCATTGGGATTATACGGCGCATCCTCGTCGGACTCGGAGTCGGCATCTTCGTCCATCCAGGCCTGGGCCCGCAGGTTTTCGTCCGCGTCGTCTTCGATGAGGGTTTGCCGCTCCTCCTCGGTGAGCTTCGCCCATCGTTTCTTCATGACGTGCCGCTTCTTCCAATGGTGTGTCGTGTCCATGTGCTCAAGAGCCTTCTCCTCATCCGGAATGTACATTTCCTCCTCTGTAGGGACCAGGTTCTCGCCCGTCTTCCAGTCGAAGTAGCCCCAGAGGATCATGTGAGGGAGGTGCTTGTCAAGTTCAAGGCCGCGTAAAACGGCCTCGAGGGGGATGAGCTCGTCAGGACGCTGGAGGTGAGTGCTCCCTTTGCCCCATCCCTCGTAGTGACCTGTGCCAACCTCGTGAAACGGAACGTCGTGTATCTCTCGGCCATAGTAGTCGTGGCCCCAGTGGTCCGGTGGCATCTGCATATCATACTGGACCTTGAGCTGCAAGATCTCGGGAAGGGTGGTGAATCTCTTGCGCATGAGCAGTTGCCACAGGGGGTATAGGCCGCGCTGGCCCATCATCAGGTGGAGCAGCTCCAAAGTGTTGGGGCCGTAGACGGGGTCGTTGAAGTGCATTCCTAGCTTGACAAAGAAGAGTTGCGCATTGTAGAGGTCAATATCTGTCCAGATTTCCTTATTATGCATCAAGGCTCGTCGTTGAGTGTTGGTAGACAGGTCCATGAGTAGCCACATCCTGAGAAGAGTCGTATACATCGTCTTGGGTAGGCGATGCCCGTTGCGGGCCATGATGGCAACAATGTCCCTGGAGCAACGATCTCGAGTCCACAGAAGGTGATAGTACTTCAGGCCGGGGATGGAGCGGATTTTCTTTGGCTCTGGCTCCTCCTGTTCCTCGCCATCCCACGCGCGGCCCCGAGGATCTGACATCAGAAGAGGCTTGTACAGCCGGTACGGAAACGTCGCTCCAGCTTTCGGGAAGCGGTATGCGGTCCATGTGCGGATGCTCGACAGCATATAGTTATGTATGAAAGTATGAAATGTTCGACAAGAAAGGAAGAGGCTTATCATATCTTGAGGGGCAAGATGCTTTCCAAGCTCAACAGCAAGGACTGGATGGCTACAGAGCGCAGTAAGAATATCTCGTTGTTCGGGGTCCGGTGTTTCGACAACGCGTTCGTCTGAAGGTTTCAGATACGGATCTCTCCCTCCAAAGAATCTTTGTAAAGCTTCGTCTGTGAAGGTGAACTTCAAGCGTGCAAGACCATCGACAATTTCCGTTTCAGTTGAAACATGTAGTTCTCCTTCCCCCCACTCGCTCGAATCACCGTCGTCTGTAGCCTCCACAGATCCAGATGCCGAACTGGCATCGTCCGCCTCCTCTTCTGAAGCCGTGTCTTGCTCGCTCTCCTCATCTGGAGCTGAATCGTCCTCCTGTAGAGCTGTATCATCGACTTCTGAAGTTGCATCTTGCTCGGTCTCCTCTTCTGAAGCCGTATCTTGCTCACTATCATCATCTGAAGTTGTACCTTGCTCACTATCCTCTGATGGAGCTGGTCCTTGCCCACTCCCCTCTTCTGGAGCCGCATTTTGCCCATTCTCCCCCCTGAGAAATTGCTGACCCCACTGGTAAACCTCCTCCCGGCCTTGCCTCCTGAGATTCTTCCGATGATCTTCCATAAGCTCTCGGATGGCGTACACTTTGATGGCCTCGATCACCTCATTTGCGGTGACTGGACCTTCCTGTTGCCGGTGTTGGCTGCGAAGCTGCTGGAGTGCTACGTGGGCTAGGAGCTGCGACTCGTCCTGGTCCAGGCCCTCGCGGTTTTGCACGAGATCGACGAGTTCGTTCAAGCCTACAGGAAGTGCCATCTCATCATCCGGGATGCCAACATCACCGTCGTGGTGAGCGCCCAGAGTAGGAGCTGACATGGTGATCAATGATGACTGGACGATGGTGATAGCAAGAGAGGAGAGGTCATGTCAAGATAAATGGTGAAAGTTGCAGGTATGATCCGTGTTGAAAATAATGTAAATCAAACGCGGAATTGTTGTTGAGGTAGAATTGAGTGGCCAAGCGCATCGTTGAAGTTGACTCTGAGTGGGTTGTTATAGTGACTGGGAGCTTATTGTCTGCATGTAAACAAACGGGACAATAGAAAGTCGACAATAGGCCGCACCCATTGAAAAACAATTAGGGTAAGCATTGAATGAGGTGGGAAGTCGGAAGTTCCGCCAGACAGCTGGTGACGTCTGCTGGCGGACCTGAACACAAACAATTGGAACTTGCACCCGCTCCAGCCATCAATTTCAAATTCTTATTTCATTTGCTTCTTGATTTTTTTTTCAAGTGTTTGTAAGGATATTAACTAGGTAGTAAATGGGACATCTCGACCATGGTCTGGCGCAACAAATGCGACGTCCCCTGAGGCAACGAGCCGACTCGCCTGCTTTCCCTGGATAGGCCAGCTCCACTCCTTTACATCGGGTATGACTTATGTAGTCTCAAGCTTGTCGATGTGGGATCATCCAAAACCGGCATATGCCCTTATCGGTCCAACTCATCCACTGGCAGTTCGCCATCATCTTTGCCAACGATAGATTCCGCAACCTTCCAGACCTGGAGGAGGTTGTCTTCGGCTGAACTGGCGACAAGCCAAGGCTCATTCGGGTTCCAGCTGAAGTCGGCCAAGTGGTTGGTGTGACCGCCATGCATGAACAGCCTAGATGATAAGCAACCGATTAGTCAAGAACAATAAAAAACGAATGTGATGCGGGTCGTCTTACAGCTCAGGAGGGCCATCGTCCTGATCATCGGGCAGTTGTTCCTCGCCAATACGAGAGAGATCCCAGAAAATAATGCGGCGGTCGTAACTACCACTACCCAAAATGCCGGCCTCGGTAGGATGCCACGACAACGATGTCACAGCATCATTGTGTCCCTCCAGGGTGTGAACCTTTTCCTTGACATTTCTCAAGTCCCAGATGCCAATGGTCTTGTCTGCAGAAGCCGTCGCCACTAATACTTCTGAGTGAGGGTTAAATGCGAGAGCGTTAATAGCATCCAGGTGACCCTTTTTAGCCACAACGGCTGCTTTGTCAGTCTCGCTATGTCGGATATCGACAATTTGAAGCGTTTGATCATCAGATACGGAGCCGATAAAGTTCTTCGAGATAGGATGATACTGAACATCATTGACAATTTGCGTGTGGTGCGTGTAAATTCTGCTGGGCTTGAGAATCTTGGAATCGGCTTCCAGCTTCTTCAGGTCCCTGAGACCATTTAGCAAATGCAACTAACGGCATGCACGGTAAGGATGAATAAAACTTACCAAAGACACATGGTCTTGTCTTCACTACCCGAGGCAAGACCGCCCTCTTCATGGGGATTCCAGTTGAGGCCGAAACCCTCGGACTTGTGGCCTACCAACTCGATCTGAGGGTTGAACTTGCCTACCGAGGTAGGGGGAACCAGGGGGTGCTTGGTGCGGTCAAAGATAAGAATTTTGCCATCGACGCAAAAGGTAGCAATAATGTCGGGGTTTTGTGGTTGATAGCGAGCCTTGTTCACTTCGCCCGGGTGCTCAATCTTGTGCACAATGTCGCATTTGATGGCTGCGACATCGCCAGACTTTCCATACCCGCCGATCTCACCACGTTCCTCATCATAGTCATCAGGGTTAGGGGCAACGGCCTTTGGGATTTGCACATCGGCAATTTGGAGGTAGTTGGGGCTGTCATCAGATGTGTGAGTTCCTAGCAGGAGGCGGTGGGTGCGGTAGTTGGCGCCCTCTGGCTCCTTGATATCAGGAAACCACTGGACAGTCAGAGTTGGCCATGTGAGAGCTTTCCTGCGACAGTTATTAGCCAGAGGCACTAAAGATAAGGGGAGGGCCGAGAGGCGAATCCTCCTACGAGCCTCGCATTTGCGTCTTACCCCAAAATCATATCGTACAAGAAAGGGCTGTTTTTCTTCCACGTCTTGTACTCTGAAATTAATGGTTAGCTATGTTGATTCTCCAAGTTGGAGTTGCAGATCCGTACCCTCGTTGATCAGGCGCTCCGCCTGATCGTCATCATCCTCGTGCATCTCAACTACGGGAGAGCATTAGCATCGCATTTATGACCACCATCTGTTGAGCTGGCGGAAAGCGGTAAGTTCGCCTTACCATCGGGGTCGTGGTCAATTTGTGTGGGAGCCATGATGTCCTGCCGCGACCGACTACTCCAAGCCTCAAATTTGACAGCAAACACACGAAATCCTTGACACGGTAAATTGGTGAGTTGGTGAGCTCTGGGTGTTGGTGAAGATTGAAGATGCGCCCGGCAACCTGCAGCTGTGAGAACCAATGACAGCGGAAAACTGAACTAAGCTTGCACGCGTTGCGCGTAAATGGGAGCGAGCAGGGCAGCCAATCAGCGGAGGCCTGCAGCTGCTCTGAGGCGCCAGCAAATCCACCAGCGAGGGGCAAGTTCCAGGGGTGTCTGTGGCGTAGCAAGAGGCTGAAGACGGCAGAGACCCCTCCACTGTTTTGAGTTCATGCCAGCTATGGTGGGGACGTAGGTACCTCCCAAAGATGCCCAAAGTACCGCTTAGCCGTTGGGGCTGCCACGAGTTACCTTGCTCGCCGTATGAGTGACCCGCGTAAGGCTCCCCGGAACAGTCATCGCTGGCGACAAACGAACACACTTCGAGAGGCCATCGCAAGGTTTTATTTTACTCTCTACCACCCACCCAGCGTTTATGCGCTGCCTTTCCTCTTAACTTTACAACGTTAATTTTCTCCGATTTCGACTCCTTTTTCTGGGTAGTTCTTTGGATTCACAGTGTTGCCCTTCGCTTCTCTCGTATTGCATTCGCGAACTGAGTGGACGGCTTTGGTTCTTTGTTCTACCTTATTCGACCTGTCGCAACACCGCGCGTGTCTGACCCTGCGACCCTGCGACCCGACCACGAACCTCTATCTACCATCTCGTCGACCCAGATTGGGTCGTTATTAAGCTCCCATCATGGGGTTCGTTTCCTGCTCGGACCCTCGCTCGCAATGTTCGAATCATGCTGACCCCTCAACAGTGTCCCCAAGTTCTTCAGATGGATTTCCGAGCGGTATCCTGCGATCTCCCAGCTTATTGCAGAGAACCGTATACCCGAATTTGATTGTTTATATGTCCGATACTTCTGAACCACACGAACGCATCGCAGGCGACTGACAGCTTTTCTAGCTCGATATGAACGGTATCATTCACAACTGTACTCACAAAGATGCGGGCGAAGACACCATGTTCCGACTAAGCGAAGAGGAAATGTTCATCAGAATATTCAACTACATCGAGCATCTCTTTGGAAAGATCAAGCCGAAACAGCTTTTCTTCATGGCCATTGATGGTGTTGCACCTCGAGCCAAGATGAACCAACAGCGAGCCCGACGATTCCGTACCGCTCTCGATGCAGAGAAAGCCCGTGAAAAGGCTGTGCAGGAAGGGTTGGAGCTGCCAAAGGAGGAACCCTTTGACAGTAATTGTATCACCCCTGGTAGGGTACTCGTTCTTCGAGATGCTGGGTTGTAGTTAGCTGACTTTGAACAGGAACCGAGTTCATGGCAAAGTTGTCGCAACAGCTGCGATATTTTGTCAACAAGAAGATATCTGAAGATGCTGATTGGCAAGGTTGCGAAATTGTTCTCTCTGGCCATGAGGTGCCAGGAGAAGGAGAGCACAAGATCATGGAGTACATTCGAAACGCCAAATCGCAACCCAACTACGACCCCAACGTCCGCCACTGTCTGTACGGTCTCGATGCTGATCTTATCATGTTGGGACTTCTCAGCCACGATCCTCATTTCTGTCTTTTACGTGAGGAAGTTACTTTCGGAAGAGCTTCCAAGACTAAGTCCAAAGAACTTGAACACCAAAATTTCTATCTGCTTCATCTCTGCATAGTAAGAGAGTATCTAGAGTTAGAATTTCAAGAACTCAAGACGGACAACTCCCTTAAATTTCCGTTCGATCTAGAGCGAGTCATCGATGACTTTATCCTGATGGCCTTCTTCGTCGGAAATGATTTCTTGCCAAATCTGCCCGGCTTGCACATCAACGAAGGAGCATTGGCCAACATGTTCCGGATTTACAAAAAGGTGCTTCCAAAGTGTGATGGATACCTCAATGAAAACGGTGTTATCAACATCCCTCGTTTGAAGCATCTTCTTGCAGAGCTTGAAAGCCTCGAGCTCGAGAACTTTGAGAACGACGTGTCTGATGAGAAATGGTACGCTTCAAAACAAATGGAGAAGAAGCTTGCCGGCAAGTCGGCTGCCCACTACAAGACACCCAAAGGTGGACAGTTGGTGATTACCTCTGCGCAGAGAGACCTCTGGAAACAGAAAATTCGACCTTTCATCTCGAAACGATCTGACAACGAGCTCGATTTGGGCACTGACCTGAAGGCTGAGGATCGCAAATTCGCCCAAGACTTAGCAGATTCCATGCATCTTGATTGGTCGACTCAGGAGGACGACGATGGCCGTCGGCATCTCATATTGGCATTCCCCCCAAAACCTGCAGGCGATGACGACGATGACGATGAAGAGGAAGAGGAGGGAAACCTGGCTGCTTACCGGGTTATGAAGACATACGACAAAGCCATGGTTGTCGATGTCACCGCCGAAGATGCGCAGAAGCAGTACGAAAAGCTGTACCAAGAGAAGCATCAAGCTTGGAAGACCAAGTACTATCTTCAAAAGTTTGAAGAATGGGCCCCTGAAAAGTACGAAAATGAGCTCTTGGCTCTTTGCGAAAATTACGTTCAAGGTCTACAATGGGTCTTGTTCTACTATTACAAAGGAATTGCATCTTGGCCATGGTTTTATTCTTACCACTATTCACCTTTGATCTCAGGTAAAGTCGCTTTCAAAGGAGAAATTGTAGTTATTGCTGACTTAATTCATCAGATGTCGTTAAGGGAGCCGGCGCAGACCTCAAATTTCAAAAGGGGCAGCCTTTCAGGCCCTACGAGCAACTCATGGGCGTTTTGCCTGATCGGAGTAAGAAGATTGTGCCCGTGGCATACCATGACTTGATGACGAACCCAAGTTCACCGATCATCGACTTTTATCCCCGAGACTTTGTGCTGGACATGAATGGTAAAAAGATGGATTGGGAGGCTGTTGTCAAGATTCCCTTCATTGACGAAAAACGGCTTCTTTCTGCCATGGGGCCCAAGAACGAGCTTCTTACTGACGACGAAAAAGCCAGAAATGGTTTTGGAGTCCCTATCAAGTTCACGTACTCGCCGGAAGTCAACTTTACATTCCCATCACCCCTGCCCGGCGTTTTCCCTGACATCCCCAATTGCCGTTGCATTGAGAATATCTTCGACTTGCCTGATATGGAGGGTCTCGAGTACGTGTCTGGATTGGCGAACGGGGCTTTGGTTAGCGTCGAGGCTCTTGCAGGCTTTCCTTCACTGTACACCCTTCCTCACACAGCGCAGTTGGTCGCGGGTTACGGCATCAATGTCTTCCAACAAGACAGTCGAAACCCAAGCGTTGTTGTCACCCTTACCGAGACTGAGAAGCGTGCTAAAGTTGAAACCTGGAAGGCACGATTGGGCCAGCGCTGCTTTGTGGGATACCCGTTCTTGCAGGAAGCCAAGATCATGGCTGTTCGTGATGAGCTTTTCAGTTTCGAACTGTCAGAAGATGGCACTTCTGTGGTCACCAGAGAGCATAACAACAGGGAGGCCGCTGATTGGGCTAAGGAAGCTGAATTTACTGAAAATTGGCATGGGAAGCGGCTCGGTGTGACTATTGGACAGGTCGAATGTTTGGTTTATGTCCACATGCTTAAGGGCCTGATCCGGACTGAAGAGGGTGCGTTGATCAAGGACTATGCCGAAAACCTGAGCCTGAAAAGTCTTTATGCTGGGCAGACTATTGTAGACGAAGTCGCGAACGAAGATACGCGATTCATCGAGAAGGCAGCCTTGCCGATTGAGGAGGAATTTACTCAAGGAACACGAGCATTCTTTCTAGGCGATTACGCTTACGGACGACCCTTAGAGGTCACAGGCCATGTCAACAAGAAGGCTGAGATCGTTGTCAGCCTGCTGAAAAACAAGGAACCCGAATTTGCTCGGTCCATCATCCATGAAGCTGAAAAGATGAATCCTTACACCCCATCATTTGCCGTTGCTAAGAATCTGGGAATGCACCCATTGGTTCTGAGCAAGATCACCTCGTCTTTCCAAGTTCACAGTTCGGCTGGGCTGAAACTGAATCTGGGACTCAACTTGAAATTTGAGGGAAGGAAGCAAAAAGTCCTTGGGTATTCGAGGAAGTCGCACACTGGATGGGAGTTTAGCAATCTTGCGATCAAGTTGATCGCTGACTACATGGTCCAGTTCCCCGACTTTTTCGCTGCCATCCAAAAGCAGGCGCAGAAGAGTGATATTCTGGAGACTGACCTCTGGAACGACCCAGCTGTCGCTTCTCAGCGTGTCAAGGACATTAGCGCTTGGCTGAAGAAGCAAGAAACGAGCAAATTCGAAAAGGTCCCCCTCGAGGCGGAGCAGCTTGACTCCGAGGTGGTTATGGCACTCGCCAAGGTTGGAGAGCAGGTATTCCAAGCATCTCAGGATGTTGAGATAAGAAAGCTACGCAGTGTGCCACGATCAGCACTTCTCAAGCCAACTGACGCAGAACTTGTCCTCGGCAACCAAAACTTTTCGCTTGGTGACCGAGTGACATTTGTTGCTGCTGCTGGCAAGGTACCAATTGCAACCCGAGGAACCGTGGTGGGAATCAGCCGTACCGCCACTGCACTACTCCTGGATGTGGTGTGGGATACCTCGTTTATGAGTGGCACAACGTTGAATGAGAGAGCCCCTATGTTCCGTGGCCAGACTGTTGCCTCATCATCTGTGCTCAATACTTCACAGAAACAAGTGGTTTCAGCCTCGAGCAAATCTCAGCAGCAGCGTCGCAATGTTCCTATAACCAAGTTGGGATCTTACGGATCCGTGGGAGTTACCCAGTACACCGATGCTCCTACTCCCGCTCCACTTAGGGGAGGATGGCGAGGAGCTTTGAACGGAAGTGGATCGCATGGTCGTGGCGGCCGAGGAGGGAACCCTAATAATGGACAACGTGGTGGAGGACCTCCTCAGCTGGTTCACAGCACTCTTGTCTATCGCGGAGGACCCGAAGGCAACGACCAAACGCGTCACACAAATGGCCATGGTGGTAGAGGTAGCCCCCATCCTCGCGGAGGCGCAAGAGGTCGTGGTGGGCAGCAAGGAGGATATACCCCTGCCCCTCAATCAGGGCCGACCCCGGAGTCGGGAGCTATGTATAGTAACGTGCCTCCTCCGGCGAATCTCGACAGCGCTCGTGGAAGAGGCCGTGGGAGAGGCCGTGGTGGGAGAGGCCGAGGCCGAGGCCGAGGAGGGTCTGCGCCAAACCACGATGCTTGAGCACAAACATGACTTCATTGTGTATTAAGGTATATTTTTTGAGAGAGGATTCAACTGCGTCCTTTTTTTTCTAGCCCTGTCTTAGAAACCCGGCCGCTTGGAGTTGCTGTGCTGCAATGTTTTCACGGAATGGGCTTGTTTAACTTGTTTGTACATGATAGACGTTGCATGGCATGGCATGGGATGACATAGATTGGGCAGATTGGTTTTATCTCAAGCGAACTAAATATACCATGAGTACATCGCATATTTGCCTGGAAAAATAAAATCAATTCTGGAGCTTATACCCGATTTCTACACAGTAAAGACACTGAATGACATGATCCCGAACGCCGACGCGCATATAAATGTACCCCAGATCGCTTTTTGCAAATTCAGCACGCTACCATCTAATTCTTCTTCTTTATAGATGGTAGAGAGAAGGGAGCGCTGACTCCTCCTTTGATTGCCTTCCAGAACCCAATGTCTTGATTCTGGTTCCAGGTCAGGAGACCGAACCAGGGCTGGACATTGTAATGTAGCTTCAGCTTCACATTCTCGGTGTCGGCGATCTTTCTGCTAGGATGTGTAATCTGATACTTTGGTCGCTGGTTTCGGAGAGAGAGAATGCCCCTGTTGCAGTACATGAGTTAGCTTCTGTAGAGCAGTGGTTCAGGGTTGCACATCCGATGACATACCTGTCGGGAGCAACCGTCTTGCCCTGGGCAGACTTCTTCAGCTTCTTCATGGTGGCCGGGCCAATGTTCTTCAAGTGATCAGCGCTGGGGTTGGTGATGATGGAATCCCAGATGACGGCCTCATTTGTGGCATTCGCGCCGCCCTTTGCGGCAGGCCACTCGGCAGTCACGTAGACGAAGACCTGCTTCGTGTTCCAGGTGAAGAGATGGGACAGATCGGCGTCGAGGGAGAACTTGATGATCGCATACTCCTCCTGGGCGCTGGAGTAGTAGTGCGGGCGACCCTTTACGACCTGGAGGTTCTGGACCTTGAGGGTGCCGGTGGGCGCGCGCTCCGCGTACAAGTCGGTGGCGGCGATGAAGCATCCCAGGACGAAGGCGACGGTGGTGAAGAAGCCGAAGACCGACTGGAAGCGGTTGAGGGTGTTATGCATGGTGGGCGGCAGCACGGCGGACCATTCGACGATTGACGGGATCGGAAATGTTTGTGGAGGAGAAAAAGTAAGTGAGTAAGTGGCTCGGCTGGTGCCGTTGTTGCGCTGATGGAGGTTTGAGGTGTCTGGACACGTTTCTGGGGGAAGATGCGTAGCTTGAGACTTAGGTGGGGCGCGACCCTTCAAAGCTTCCCATTGTAGACTCAAGACCAGCTTCACTTATATGGGACCTGGGGGTCTGCTTATCCAAGTACTGAACCGAATAGACTAAAGGTCGCGCTTTTTTGTTATAAGTGAGGGGCAAGGTTCACTTGATCATACTGATCGCCTCTTGCGAATGGCACTTCTTACTGTTGGATGATAGCTGTCCTTGTCAATAGATGTGCGCATATGTAAATCTACAATTGCAGGTCGTACAGCAGTCATATGTCCCTGTGTACCTTACCAAGGCACATGTAATATTCAGATGCAAACACCACAGCCATGTAAGGTTTATGCCGGCTCTGAAATGGCGAAATGTAGAATCGCAAGAAGTTCTAAACGGGCTGCCAGGCACTTTTACACTTGCAGGGCGTACATCGGTACATACTTGGGCGTATCTTAGTGGGTTCCAGTGGGCTGGCGCTGGAACAAGCATCCCGCCCCACTAACCTTTACGGTTTTAGGGTGTACAGCAGGCGCATTTATGGAAGGACCGACCCATGCATGATCGCCAGGCAGTGCCTAAAATATTGCTGCATCTATCAAGGCCAAGATCAAATCTTCTACCACCTAATCAACCTCCTGCATATTTCTTGTCCCTCACGCCGCACGAAATTTCGCATAATATAACTATCTTGTTTGGCCAAACCAGATCTGGCTGACTTTCCCCTCTGTGTCAGACTGGCACCCACTGGTTGCGATCTTACGGATTTCAGTTGGCAATTCGAAGCAGACAATGGGTGCCGCTGCCGACCTGTTCAGCCACAGCCCGCCGAAACACGCCTCCGGTATTGTTCCCTGGACCAAATGATAGGGGAGTGCGGGAGGGGATATTCCAGCCAAGATGAACACGCTGGTATGCTTCCTCTTCCCCAAAACCCCATAGACATTACACAGCGCCGCTCGGTCGCTCACATACACACAGAAGAGAATCGGCGAAAGCATCGTTAGGCCCATGAACACGCTAGGTCGTTCGAGGCATACGAAGCCAACTGACGAATCCTCCGACAAACGGCAGAAAACCGAGGCTGAGCCCGAACGTCCCCTCCACAAGTCGCCGTTCTTTCCACCGACCCCCCAACAGAAGATCCCTTCCTCCGTCTACAGTGCCTCGCAAGATGACCCGCACGAGATCCAAAGTATTTCAAGTGTCGGGAAGAGCTCTACAGTCGCAGCCACTGTTCAAGAATTTCGCGCAATCAACACCAAGAGTCGAAGCCGTTCGAACCGAGTCCGAAAAAGTCGACAAATGAGCAAGGAGGATCTCACGACAGCCGGACTCAAAAGCCCGACGAGCCGTTCAGTCTATTCGGACAGCCCAGATGTTCTTTCTATAGCAGAAATCCCACCGGCGAACGTAGTCTCTGACGTGCTAGGAAGTCAACCTAATGGAAAGCGAAGTCGGCCAACTGGAATCACCGAACCTCCCGTCAAACGACCCAGGATAAGCGTCGATCAAGAACCCATCGAGGTTATGTCTGAAGACGAGCTACAGGCTCCCTCCAAGAATAACACTTTGGATTCGAAGATGATGACTAATTTTACGAGTTTCGACGAGAGGAAGCTTGTGCGAACCACGAAGAAAGGTGACATCCGATCCACAAAGTTTCAGTCTCCGAATTCTTCGGATAGAAAATTCCACCAAGAAGAGTCTGCAATACACCTGAGAAGCGCTGTTTCAGGCACCTTCACGTGGGAAGCCAAGCAAAATGAATCACACAGGTTTTTCTTAAGTGGTTCAGGAAATGAAAGGTCATTCAAGTTTCAGCTCGGGGAGGAAAAGGATGAGTTGCGATGGCTTCAGCTGAATTTCGAGAAATTGCGCAAACTTCGATATGCTGTACCAATCAGCCGCTTTGCGGTCGTATCAAGATCCGTTTGCCCAGATCAACCCGCGAACCTTTACCTTGAGTTTGAAAGTCCTCAAAGTTGCGAACGATTCATCCATCAGCTACCCCGAAAAGAAATAACCATAGATGAAGACAAAGAAGATCCGTAAGTTCTACAAACTAAAGCACGGGTCAATCATAAGCCACTAATTGATCCTCGAAGGTTAAAGCCAGAAAAAGCATTCAACAATGCGCGTAAACAGGCTGATAAGCAAAATGCTTCAGAGAGTAATAGTTCGACCACCAAATCATCCAGAGAGAGACAGCAATTTGTGGTTGAGATTCCAGCTCAATCACCAAGACGCCGGTTTTTAGAAGAAGCGAAACCGGTGCAACAAGAGAAACTAACGGACAAACTTGCGCGCTCTGTTAAGGAATCCAATAAGACTCCAAATAGATCCAGTGCATTCGGCATTGAATCTATCTCGCCAGATGAGACTCTCTCCCCGTCATATCGGATGGGAAGGCGCGCAACAAGACAGTCTTCCCCCATTCTTCCCCCAGAAATCTTTGACCGTTGGACGACGAAAAATCCGAGTTGGAGAGAGACGTGGACCAAGTCTCTTGTGTATCCCCCTACTGGCAAGAACCGGGCTACAGTAGATGCTGACGACATCCCGAGATTGGACGAGGGCGAGTTCCTCAATGACAACATCATCACTTTTTATCTTCGCCATCTTCAGATTAAACTTGAAGCTGAGTCCCCTTCAATGCTAAAGAAGGTACATATTTTCAGTAGCTTCTTTTTCGAGACGCTGAAATCTGCAAAGAAATACGAGGGTGTAAAAAGTTGGACGGCTAAGATTGATCTATTCTCGTATGACTACATTGTAGTCCCTGTCAACGAACATGCACATTGGTACTTGGCCATTATTTGCAATCCTGGAATGACTTTACCTGCTGAAAAGAGACCTCAAATAAATGCTCCGCAAACAAACAATGAATTTGGCGAAGACTCAACAAGGGATTCGACTCAGATGCCAAGTGTCGAACGCGGTGTTGAATCTATCTCGCTTGAGGATATTGCACCCCTCCCTCCAACCGCGGAAATCGCGGATGAGACAACCGATCTCTCAGAACCGGCACTTGCGGCGGGGAAAAAGAAATCACGGAAGTCAACTTCTAATATCAGCCAAAAACTTGATCCCTCTGAACCAAGAATCATCACACTCGACTCTCTGGGGAAAGCGCACTCGCCCACTTGCAGAATTCTCAAAGAATATCTTGGGGATGAGGCCAAAGACAAAAAGGGCATGGAACTGAGCGCCAGCCCTCCCGGCATGACTGGGAAAGGCATTCCTGAACAAGACAACTTCTGTGACTGTGGTGTTTTTGTGCTTGGATACATGGAGGCCTTTCTACAGGATCCAGATGAGGCGTATCGCAAGCTACTCCACAAAGAGCGTGTTGACTGGAATATCAACCCTTCGAACTTAAGGAATCAAATCAGAGACCTTATTTTTACGTTGCAAAAGGAGCAGCAAGAGCAGATAAACCGGGAAAGAGAAGCGAAACGGGCTGCCTGGCGGGAGAAGAAGGGCTCAATGGCACCAAGTCAATCATCTCGACCTCACACTCAACGCGCTTCGTCTCAGGGTCCGCTGGTTGGACAGCCGGCATCCGAAAACTCAAAGCTTGTGTCATCTCCGGGGCTTCCTCCCCCGCTCCTATTAAACGGTGTCTCAAACGGCCCGGTAAGGCAACAAATAGCCTCCTCCCCAGCAAAAATCGAACGGCCCGAGACATCTGGGGTCGAAGTCACTCGACACCGGTTTGTCAAACCGCTGCCAGATAGCTCGAGTGATGCTCTAGTAGAGAATCTAAGCTATCGCAACTCGAGTGCTTCTCCAACCAAAATCAAACAACCTAGGTTATCAGATCTTGCGAAAAAGGCTCCGCTCAAATTCGTTAGCCCCCTCACAGACAGCTCCACGGATATTATTAAAGGCAAACACCAGCCATCCGTTTCTCCAAACGCTGTCTCTCACAGCGCCCAACGGATCGAACAAAATGGAGATTTATGCAAACCAGGGAGTCAAACCCTAGTCGAGGAGCCTGTTCAGATATCGGTAGAGGCAAGCGACTCCGAGGAAGCAAATTCCCCGTCTCATGAGAGGCATCGAAAGAAGAAGAAAAGAAAGAAGGCCCATGGTCATGAGTCTTCCCAGGCCGGTATCATAGACGTCCCTGAGGGGGACGCGACTCCGGAGCATCCACAATACGACGGCATTCACCGATCCACTAATCCGATGTAAGGCAACATTGTGTTTGTCTGCCATCTTTCGTGCCAGCTCTGGGCAACTGCTGTTCGGATATTTTGCAACAACCAAAGCTCTGGGAGTACATGTGCAATCACAAATGGATCTTCTCTCTACCAGTGTAGCAGAATAGCAAATTAGAATCGGCGGAAGGAGAATTTTAGATGACAAAGCCTTACATTGTTCACTAAACAGACCATTTTAATATACATATCGAGCAGCAACAAGCAGGAACTACATTGCGCACTGGCCGGCCCCGATATAGGAAACTGACTACGAGTATAAGAAGAACGCTCGACCTTTTGACTTATTTGAAAGACGACATGAGATGGTAGATTTACAAGCTATGATAGTGTATGAACGCCTTTGTGATAATTCTATGTTTTCCCCGGTACTCCTAATTCAGCCCTCCTCGTCAGTGCTATTATCAACGCCGTTCGCAGATACAGCCGGTCGTATCCTGGGGACTTCAAACACAACTCCTCCATTACGGGCGTCATCAAAAATCTTCCACCGACCGAACCTATGTTCCTTGCTCACTGCGGCGATAACACAAATCCCATCCTTTCCTCGGTCGCCACGCTCAAACACCGTGATCCCGTTGACCACACCAACAATAGGGCGTGAAGATGCAGCCCCAGCACTGGGCGTGACCCCATTGGTCTGCTTGCTGGGTTCTGGGCTGGAAAGAACTCCAAGGGATTCGATCCTTCGCTTGTCCTCGCTCAGTTGCCATACCCGAACATACCCATCCCAACTTCCGCTAAAGAAGACATCTGAATACGGTATCGTCCGTAAAGCAGTGATGGGTCGAGGTGGAGGTGCCGCGACAACATTATCACTTGCAATCGCTGAAGCCGACCCTTCTGTAGGTCCAGGAGCTGGGTCAACTCCATGGGCCAGTGATTCTAAGTAGACAGGCTTCTTTTTCTGAACACTCCACAAAGCAATTGTGCCATTGTCACTGCCAGTGATGAATAAATCGTCATCGATCATGGCAATGCGGTCCATGCTGCCTTCATGGAGTAAGGAGCGGGGATTAACACCAGGCTTTGGTTTCTTGTCCACGGCACCACCCCTAAAAACAAGTTGCGACTCCTCGAGGACCTTCCATAGTCGGGCGGTGCGGTCACGAGCTCCTACGCTGACGCACCGCTCTTGGGCGAGAGCGTCAATGTCGACTACCTCATCTTGGTGACCGAACAGGGTCTCGACGTAGGCTAATTCGTCCAGACTCCATACCTTGACGGTGCGGTCTTTGGAACAGGAGTACAGCTGGTTCGTTCCTCTTCGAAACGCCAGGCCGGTAATTGTATCACGGTGGTGGTTGAAGACCTTGACGGGCTTCAGGGTCTCGGCATCGTGGACAATGAGCTTTCTATCTGCGCCACCGGTGACAACATATCGGCCATCTGGCGAAGCAGCAATGGCCAGGATAGGGCCTGTGTGTCTCTGGTAGTTCTTCTCCTTCTTCTTGCCAGTGCTGCCTCTAATCCAGGACTCCAATTCCGGTCTCTTTCTCGGGGGGGCGGGTGGCTTCTTCGGTTTTCGCTTCGTGGTCTGAGGGTATTGATCTTGCGGGAGATCCTGGGTTCTCCACTTGTGTATGTGTAAGTCTTTAGTTGCAGTGTAGAAGTATGGCGCGCTGGAGGTGATGGAGGTGACGGGGCCGGTATTGGTGCGGAAAAAAGTTTGCGAAGCTTTGTCTATAGCCAGCTCAGAGCCCAATTGGCGATACACCTTTCCCTTGGTCTCTGCCACGTCCTCCTGCAGTCGCTCGGCGATCAGATCTCGATCAATGTCTGCCGCGTCGAAGCCAGCCTCGTCCACGTGCTCCTTGACATTCTCCAGATAGCGCTCTGCGAGCCTCAATCTCTTCTCGGCGGCGGTCTCGCCTTCATTATCAGAATCGCTGGCTTCAGAGGACCCAGACGCATTGGAAACGCCCTCGAAGCTCTCGTCATCGTCCGATTCGCTGCCAGAGATGGACTCGTCTCTTTCCTCACGACGGCTCGCGGGGTTCGCAGGCGCCTTGCCGGATGACTTTGGACCGCCTCCATTGGCAAGTCTCTTTTTAGGAAACTCGGGAGCTACGGGCCTCTTTCTCTTCTTCTGCGAGCTCGGGGCTGTGAAAAAGGAAGACATGGTTGCGGGTAAAGAAAAGAAGATTGCCTGCACTGGCACTGGCAATCCCGCCCGATACAGGATAATTTTCTTAGCAGTCGTTCTTCCAACTTTTTTTTTCCTTAGTGCAGAATTGGGATCCACAGAAAATCCATCCCGCTTATCGATAGCGCAAGCTCAAGGTACGTACCCCGAAGATCGGCCATTTGCTTTTCCGGTGCGAAGGCGGTCACTGAGCATGATGGTGGGTGCATGGGAGAAGGCGGGCTGCTACGACCAGTGACGCGCGCAAGCGCTACAGCCTAATGGTAGCTCTGGGTGACTTCAAGCAGCTATCCTGATAAAGCACCACACAACTGCCTCTCCAATCACCCCTCCACCAACACCGAAATCGCAACATTGCCCAAAAATCAAGATGTAAGGACCACTTTTCAATACTAAACTCGCTCGACGTGGGCTTACACTCTTCCAGGGAGGTTCTACTTGGCATCACAGGCAAGGACTTCACTCTCATTGCAGCTTCCAAAGCTGCCATGCGAGGTCCAACCACCTTCAAGGCTTCCGACGACAAGACAAGGGCGCTAAACAAACACACTCTACTTGCATTCTCTGGAGAGCCTGGAGACACCGGTATGAGATGCTATTGCCGTCGATTTTTGGGGGGAAGATGTGCTAAGAGTGGTTGTGATATTTAGTCCAGTTCGCCGAATACATTCAGAGAAACGCCCAGCTCTACTCTATGCGCAACGAGACGGACCTGTCACCCTCCGGACTAGCACACTTCGTCCGCGGAGAGCTCGCATCGAGCCTACGATCCCGAAAGCCCTATAACGTCAACCTCCTCATGGGTGGCGTGGACCCCATCACTGGCAAGCCCGCTCTGTACTGGCTGGATTACCTTGCCTCGCTCGTGGACGTGCCCTACGCCGCTCACGGCTACGCACAGTATGTTCTCCGCATGCTTTCCTCTCTAGATAATTTACCTGGCTTGATCCCGATAGCTAACTCTACTCTCCAAAGATACTACTGCCTGTCGCTTCTGGACAAGCACCACCATCCCGATATTACCTTAGGCCAGGGCATCAAGCTCCTGACTATGTGCGTTGATGAGCTGAAGAGGAGATTACCGATCGACTTCAAGGGCATGGTCGTCAAGGCTGTCAAGGCAGACGGCATCGTCGACATAGAATTCGACGACGACCGGGTGGTAAAGTGTCCTTGAACTAGGAGTATGAGGGGGAGACTCGGGAGGTTAGCCAACATGTACTTTAGTCTAATTGGAGGCTGGAAAGGTAATTCATACAGCATGACCTTCACGTGCGATGCTTCGTTGTGTGTGGGTCTGAAGAAACGGCACAGGCTGCCTCGAATAGATATCTCTCCTGCATCAATATAAAGGGAATAACGGTTCAGACAACAGATTGCTCGTTTAGAACGAACGTGCAAGTCTAGGTATTCCAAGCCACCTGAGCGGTGGGATCTTGGATAGATAGAGTTGGCCGCAAGGATGCTGATATGCTCCAAGGTGGCAACGGACGGTCTCCAATATTATGCAGTATCTTCCATGGTTGGGACATAAAATACCTGCAGGGGAGTTATACATCCAAGTGGGTGACAGGAGAGATGAGACACCCAATGGAAGAGCGGTTCTACTTCTAAGATAGATCAAGAAATTCAGTAGTATAAATTTAGGGAAGTGACAATATTTGCAGTATTATCTCTCAAGCATATATTCCCGGCACTCAATAATTTGATAATACCGGTTGCAGACTCGAGAACAAGCAGCTTTGCTTGAGTATCTCAAATTCAATGTCACCCATTTGACATGTACAAGATGTCTCTCTACCTACTATTTATGTGGGTACAAATTGTCAAGGCTTAGGAAAGATCTCAAAAGGCTTGCAGCTGTATTCTAGAGGTTCTACTAAGTTCTAACCCTAACGTGTTACCCATGTTCAGATGGCAAGCAGAAGCATGCAAGAGGTAAGTGACAGAGGAAATGGCACACTTGAGTAGTCTCTTAATAATTACTTGATCAGCTATCTTTCATAGCTAGCTATGCAATTACTAAGGCAAGATTGAACGAAGAAGAACATCAAGGTATGAACATTGATTATCTACAGTCTCTGCTTAAAACCAGCTACTTTTTGGATATTTAGGTGTGTATTTGGGTCTGTCTTTGAGTCTTACCCACTTGACACGTTCTGCATTTATCAAGTCACCTTGCCCATCTAGGCAACATATATCCACTGGTGTTGTTTGCGTTGCCTGAGTATCCTTGTCCTGAGATATCTCGAGTTGGCAACAGCAAAATTGTGAGCAACCGCCTTTCGGAACTTTTGTGGGATGCGGTTGGAAATCTCTCCTGGCAGGGTAGCTCTTTTGACGGAAATTATCCGAATCTCCATCTGTGGCTGGTTTGGATGAAAAGGGGTGTTACACAATAGGATCACACAAAAAGGAGGGAGTTGCGTGGGCGAAAGGGTGTCGAAAAAGGGGGATCAGCCCTTGGGTAGTCTGCTGTCTTGATCCAACCACCTATAACCCAAGATTCAATATTGGTCTTGCCAATGCGACGGTACCGTTGAGGCGGAAGTCAATTGGCCCAGTTACCAAGCAGGCCAGCCACTTCTTGTACAACGATATGAAGCGTTGACCAAAACGAACCAAGGCGGAAAGTCTCTTGGTAATTGCCGGTATTGAGTTCCAGGCTAGAGTGCACCTCTTCGAGGACTAGAGGCACGCTATTTGGGTGCGTATCGTGGAAGTCTCTTGGGCCCTGCAGTCTGTAGGTACTATCACATGGATGGTGCAATGGCAGTTGGCTACGAGTTACCGCTATTTACCTAGCTAGCCTGCATATGTACATATATGGCTGACAGGCATGGGCCTCCCGGTAGAGTGGAAGTTGGTCCAAGGCGCACACTTTCGTCAGGCAGGCTTTCTCCAACGCAGGAGACGAATGACAAATTCTGCCGGATACCAGGATGCTAGCTGAAAGAACAATGATGCAACTTCGCCGTAGGTGTGATTAATCCCCTATGGCTGGGTGGTCAGATGCCCGGGGAGACCGGGGGGTCTGACGTCGGGTGCTGAGATTGGATCTGTCTGCCTGGCATTTTCGACGGCGGGCCGCCAGGTAGCAAGTACCAGGCACATCTTCTCGAAGACCCTGGGATGGCGTAGAAAGATCTGCCCTCAGTGGCAACAGCGCCTGGTCCCACCTGGCTGCTGCGAGATACCTCTGCGCAAGAGCTGCGAAAACTTCGTAGCAGCCAGAAACCACGCCGGTGCTGGTGAGGTGCGATTGAGAGGCAGCGCTGCTTACGAGGCCTGTAGTACCGCCTACCTGCTGTTAGCCTGTGATCGCCCCAGGGAGACATGGACAGGCGTCAAATTGTCCAAGATTTGTACCCTGGTACCACTAGCCCCTCCAGTTGACGATGGGCTCGTGCCCAAAATTCTCACCGCCCGGCCCCGGCGCTGGTGCCACTAGCCTTTTTCGACACGACCAATTTTTTTCGCTTTTGCCCCCCGATTTTTATCGTCCCTTTTCCTCTTCTTTCTCACAACAACCCCTTCCCAACATTCTCATAACCCTTCTCCCCTCATCCGTGCCATTTCCAAGGGCATTCCGTTTTCTTTCTTGTTTGTTTTCTTTGAAGAGTCTGTGCGTTCTTCGAGGGAAATCTGCAAGTATCACGTCCAACTCCTGCCTTACGACGAAGAAAAAGTAATTTGTTAGAGGGAAATTTGCCAGAGAGCCGTTACTCTCATCTTCTCTCATTTTCCATTTCACTGCTTTCGCTTCGCATCATTGAAACCTCGTTCGGTTTTACTTTCCTTCTTTCACTCTCCTTTCATCTGAGAGTGATTGCACGACGAAACACTCGGGTTACATTACGAACTGTACATGATCCACTGAGTTTTTCCAACATTCCATCATCTATCATCATCGAATATGGCGGACCAACTCAACATGGGTGGGCTCAACCTGGGCCCTGAGGGCCAGGGAGGTCCTGCTTCCGGAGCTCGCTCCTACATTCCCCCTCATATGCGCAACCGCCAGCCGAATGGACCTGCCCCAGTTAACGGCGGTGGTCCTCCCCCAGCGGCGGCTGCTGCTCCAGGACCCGCCAACGGTCTGGGCAACAGCTCCTGGGCTGGGTAAGCCTAACCATCTCATCCAAAGCCTGAGTTCATTTGTACTAACTTGATTTCGCAGTCAAAACCAAAACTTCCCTGCCCGCCAAGGAAACTGGAGCAACGGCCCAGAGGGCGCCGCCCCTGGCGCCGCCGGCGGCAACAACTACCAGAACAACAACAACCGACGCGGTGGTTGGAGCGGTGGTGGTGGTCGTGGCGGCTACGGCGGAGGATATGAGGGTGGCCACGGTGGCGGCGGCGGCGGCAACTACGCTGCTCGAGGCTCCGGCGATGGACAGTGGAGGGACGGCAAGCACATCCCTGGCCCAGCCAACCCCAGAGTCGAGCGTGAGCTCTTTGGTACCATCGACGACCCTTCCAAGCAGCACACCGGTATCAACTTCGAGAAGTATGACGACATTCCCGTTGAGGCTTCTGGACGTGACGTGCCAGAGCCTGTCAACCAGTTCCTTAGTCCTCCTCTGGATGAGCATCTGTGCCGCAACATCGAGCTCGCTCACTACAAGGTCCCCACACCTGTCCAGAAGTACTCCATTCCCATTGTCTCGGGTGGCCGTGATCTGATGGCCTGTGCCCAGACTGGTTCGGGTAAAACTGGTGGTTTCCTTTTCCCTATCCTTTCTCAAGCGTTCCTCAACGGACCTTCACCTGTTCCTGCCTCTGCCGGTGGCGGTGGTGGTTTCGGACGTCAGCGCAAGGCCTACCCTACTTCTCTGATCCTTGCCCCTACCCGAGAACTGGTCTCTCAGATTTATGATGAGTCTCGAAAATTCGCCTACCGATCCTGGGTTCGACCCTGCGTCGTCTACGGTGGTGCTGATATTGGCTCTCAGCTCCGTCAAATTGAGCGTGGCTGCGATCTGCTTGTTGCTACACCCGGACGATTGGTCGATCTCATAGAGCGTGGTCGCATTTCCCTTTGCAACATCAAGTACCTGGTTCTCGACGAGGCTGATCGTATGTTGGACATGGGTTTCGAGCCTCAAATCCGCCGCATTGTCGAGGGTGAGGATATGCCCAGCGTTGCCGACCGCCAGACTCTGATGTTCTCGGCCACCTTCCCCCGCGATATTCAGATGCTCGCCAGGGACTTCCTTAAGGACTATGTTTTCCTTTCCGTCGGTCGTGTCGGTTCTACCTCTGAGAACATTACTCAGCGTATTGAATACGTCGAAGATGTCGACAAGCGCTCTGTCCTCCTTGATATTCTCCACACCCATGCTGGCGGCCTGACCCTCATCTTTGTCGAGACCAAGCGCATGGCTGACTCTCTCTCCGATTTCCTCATTAACCAGAACTTCCCTGCCACCTCCATTCACGGTGATCGTACCCAGCGTGAACGTGAGCGTGCCCTGGAATTCTTCCGAAATGGACGCTGCCCCATCCTCGTTGCCACTGCCGTTGCTGCCCGTGGTCTCGATATCCCCAATGTCACCCACGTCGTCAACTATGACTTGCCCACTGACATTGATGACTACGTGCACCGTATTGGTCGTACTGGTCGTGCTGGAAACACGGGTATTGCCACTGCCTTCTTCAACCGTGGCAACCGTGGTGTCGTCAGAGAGCTTATGGAGCTCCTCAAGGAAGCCAACCAGGAGATCCCAGCCTTCCTCGAGACTGTCGCTCGCGAGTCATCCTTCGGCGGTGGCCGCGGTGGCCGACCTCGTGGCGGTGGTGGACGTGGCGGCGGTGCCAACCGCGACTTCCGTAAGTTTGGCGGAGGTGGCTTTGGTGGTAGCGGCGGAGGTGGTGGTGGCTTCAACGGCCCTCAAGGGGGCGGCTTTGGCGGCAACTACAACGGACCTCCTCAGGGTGGTGCTGGCTATGGCGGCGGCGGCGGCGGTTACAGCGGTGGTGGTGGTGGTGGCGGCGGCGGCAACTTCGGCGGCAGCTACGGCAACCCTGGTGGTCCCGGAAGCCAGTCGTCCTGGTGGTAAAAATCCAACCAGGTGTTCCGGTCGCTCTATCCCGCCGATACGATGGCGACCGATTGTCGCTACTCTGCATGCGACAAATCCTCTGCCGCATCATTGATGATGATGATGATGACGGCATCATTTTGATTTCGCTATCTTTTCTTATCACTTGCATCTGTTTTCTTGTTTTTATTTTCTTATTTCTTTTGTTCTCTCACGACACGGCGAACATCTATGACCTACGAGGGCGGTATCAGTGCCCTGACATGCTGGCGAAAAGCAGCCATGGTTTTAGGGCCTTTCACGAAGTATGTGATAGATTGCATTTCTTTTGATTTTCGAAACCACTCTCGAATGATACCCTTAGACCGAGATTTGGGGGAACTTGAAGAAACACCGGCAAAATCGTGGTGTTAGGTGGATCTAGGAAAGATCTAGATCCGAGCAAAGAGCCTCACGATTTTCATGTTTCTGCTGTTTATCAGGGTTTCCCTGACAGGGACATTTTCTCGCTTTCACGATAGAGGGTCATAGCATCGCCGTGCAAACATAGACAAAAGGGGGTTACTCGGTTCTCTGGTCGAATGTGCTCGACGGTCCCCAAGGTGAAGGATGGATATATGGGGCTATGAGCATAGACTAGGCACATGGACGGATGGTTGGTCAGCAGACGGGTTTTAAGTCTGTTTTTTCATGCACAAGGAGCTCGGTCGAAGCCGCCCAGCATATGAGATTATGATTTTTAGGGTCAGGGGCGGAGTCGATCAGGAGCTCATCTTGCTCTTTCGGAGGTCAATCTTGGCCAGGACTGGAGGCATGTCATGATGTAGCTGGGAGGGCTGCTGCATCACAGCCTGGAAGACAGGACAAGGCCACGAGATTTACGAATTCTGTCCCCGTGATAGATGGACAACGACAAACCAGAGGAGGCTGAGAAGTCCTAGGACAAAAAAAGTAAAGGTTATTATCTAATTGGAATTCTAAACTTTTGATGATTTCATCCGACTTTCCCATTGCCTTAAAATGTGACTGTATGCCGAAAAGGTCCCTTCTGGGTAACCCGCGCCGAATTTCCTCTGTTCAAGATGCCGATTTTCTGCCAGGGCTCTTTCTAAGGACCAAGTGGGGTTTACCATGACGAAAGCCGGCGGCTGGGATTCTGCTGGGGTATCTGGTGGCAGCGGGGCAACAAGTAAATGCGTGGGCGCCTAGCTGGCATGCCATCGCATTATCCTCCAACAACCCGCAACACCGCGTGCAGGCTCCCGTTCACGACCGCTCGGAGCCTCGGTTCCTCGCAAAATCCGCCCGTCCGAATCAAATTTGTGATTTCGGGGCCTCGTCCAACGTTAACCTCCTCTCAAACCGCGTGGCTTGAACAGAGGCGGACACCCCAACCTAGCCGCCGCTCCCGTCCCTACCTCACGACACCACCGCTCAGCCTCGCGAACATTTGGCACACGCGATGGGTTTACTTGAGTCTCTCGATGCCGGCCTCGGGGACCTGGCAGGGCAATGGAACATTTACTCCACCGGAATCGTGACGGTTCTGATCGCCCTCGTTGGGTACCGAGTTCTCACTGCGACGGAGCCAGATATCCACCCAATGCTCCTCGCCAGGCAGTCGCTGGCATCGCCAGTGCGCCAGGAGGGTGAGAGTCCCGTGTACCGCTCGCAAGCTGCCCCTCATGGGATGCCTCTGAACAGCGGCCTGGGGGTCAAGGATCCTGGTGCGTCAAAGTGGACCAGAGGTCGCGATGGCGATCTGAGAGATGTGTGGAGGAAAGCGGTTGCAGGGAGCGAGAGTGGCGCCAAAGGCCAGTTGTGGACTGTCCTTGGATCCCAACGAAAGATCGAGCACAAGCTAGGTACATATGCTGTTCCCCCAAACTCCAAATGATTCAAGTGACTCATGAAATTGTCTCTCCAGAGGATATTACCCGTCAGATCAATCTCATTGGACAACACATTGCCGAACAGGGAGGCATCAGGGTTGCCATCTACTTGCCCAACTCTATCGAGCTCCTTGTTACACTCTTCGCCTGCAGCTTTTATCCCAACCTGACGACCATTCTGATCCCCTTCGACGTGTCCAAGGATGAGCTTGTCTCCATGCTGCGTCGTTCTGCCGCCGATACAGTGGTCACAGCCCCCGGCGCTTTCCCCTTCGATACTGTTGTCGCAGCATACCCGGCCCTAAGGCAACTCATCTGGGTTGTCGACGAGGGAAGCAGCCATCTCGACTGGAATGAGGTCCCTGAGGGCACGGGCGGCAGCGTGAACGTCGCAACCTGGCAGGACATTGTCAACGACGCCCCAGCTGACGCTGGCCGCGAGCTGCCTCCTTTGGACTCGGACCCAAGCAAGGTCCCCAAGGACGTTGTGGTATTCTGGCAGACTAAATCCGGTCAAATTGAAGAAATGATTCGCTTCAGCCAAGGCAATCTAGTCTCTGGTATCGCCGGGCAACTCGCCAGTCTCCCGCCCAAGGCGCGCCTTGGTCCTACTGACGTATTCCTACCTGCCACTTCTCTTGCGAATGAGCACACCCTAACCTTGACACTGGCCGCACTCTACTCAAATGCCTCCATCGCTTTGAACTCGGTTGCCGGAAAGTCTACCGACCTGGTCCTTGCTACGCAGGGTATTGCTCCCACTGTAATTGTTGCTGCCCCTGAGACCCTTCTCAAGTCGCACAAGGAAAGCACCAGCAAGCTTGCCGGCCTTGGTAATCTCTCCCATACGCTGGCTACTCGCCAACTTGCCCTAGATGGCGTGTTCTCGACCTCAAACGCTTTCTCCGGATTCAGTGCCGCGTCCCGTCCCACCATTGGCGCTTCTTCCCCATCCCTTCGTCTCATCTATGTCGCGGAGCGGGCCGGGGCCAGTACCCCTCACCTGTCTTCCCAAGTACTATCCGATCTGCGAATCTTCACAGGCGCACGAGTCATTTACGCCTTGACAGCGGCCAAGGTTGCCGGCGCTGTTGCCCAGACGGCATTTTTCGACTACCGGGTTGATGCCGACGGCACGGGCCACTTTGGGGCACCTCTCACCAGCGTTGAGGTGCGCCTCAGAGACTCTGGGGCTCTACGAACTACCGACGAAAAGTCCCAGGGCGAGGTATGTGTTCTTTTTTATTCAAACATGTTGCGTTTGATCACAACTAACACGAGTTTCTTAGATCATTGTCAACGGACCCGCCGTGTCTGGTGGTGAAACCAGCCTTGGTGTGAACGGGAGGATTAGGGGTGACCAGACCTTGGCATATGCATAAGGGGCAGGTAGGTAGCGATTCACTCACTGAGCGAGCGGGTTATGAAATTTCCGTGGCTACTTTCTTAGGCTCTCTCTCGAGGCTTCAAAGCACCGAGTGGGGGTGGGACTATAGCGAGGATATGAATGGAGGAAAAGTTCAACGGCTATAGTATCTACGTATATTTGCTTCTCATCTTGACTACCTTAGATCGAAACAGAGGTCTTTCATCAAGCAGTGCCCACACTCCTCAGCCGAACTGAATGCCGCCTACCCCACGCCAATGCCAAGAGGCTTCTGCCGTGAGATCCATCTCGGCTTAAGAGCAAGCATCCGGCTCGCAGTATTGTGGCCATGGCATGCACAAGACCAGCGTACCTACGTATGTGGCTTCCACAGAAGGAAACCAAGAAACACGATCAATAATATTACCTATTAATAGTGGTGTGTGCTGCATGTGCATGTCGGGAGTTGGCGCTTTTAATTAAAAAGCCCACGTTCCTTTCGCAAGCGGACCAGCGCAAGACTGAGCCTGGAGATGGGTGGAAACTGGTCGTCAGTGGGCTGGGCCCCCGGAACCATCATTTCCACCCCTCCCCTTCTCCCACTTGCGCTTGCTGATGGGTGCATATGCCTGCCGTGGCTTATTACGGGCAGAGATTGTGCAGGGCACGTTCTGGGAGGCATTCGTATTGGACGGGGCATGAAGCTATACTATGTACACGAGCCTCGCATCGCAATAGAGCGGGTGGTGCCTTCAGTAGAGTGCCTGCAGTAAATGAAGCTGAGTAGCAGAGTAACGGATGGCAGGCTGTCGTTTATCGCAGATAGTAGCGGCAAAGGATTTAGGAGGCATCTCAAAATGCCACGTGCGTGTGCGACCACTGGCGGCTCTGACAGGCACCTGCACATCGCTGGCTCAAACAGCAGGCGCTGCAGGCAGCCAATTCGCATCAAGCATCGCTCGTGCATGCGCCCGCGTGCATGCAGGGAGCAATCCTTCATCTCGTCCGCCATCGTCTCGTCATCACCGCCGCTGCCGTGGACGGATTGGATGGGATGTTGACTGGCGCACTACCCGGTCAATCTCCCCACAGCCCGACTCTGTACCCAACGCAATATCCCTTTGGCCTTAGCACGTAGCGGTCGTAATAATGCTCTGGTCGCGTGCACGCTCTTTGCGGGCCGCCGCCTGATCAAGGGTCCGTTCTGGGATGCGATCCCCTTTTTTCCTCGCTGCTGGCTCACACCACAATAACTACCGACTGCACCGCTGCTTCTCATCCCGTCATAGATTCAATATTGCCGTCCGTCAATTGGCTAGATCCGCCTGCTTGCCTGCCTCCTCGATCGATTGATCAATTAATGAATTGGCGGATAATTCATTAGCTCGCTTCCCTTCCACTACTTTCTTTCTTATTCCTGGGCCTTATCAATCACTTTATCTATTTACTATCTTCAACGGGGGGGTTGTCCGGCTCTTTGAAAACTCCGTTCACCACATACATTCACAACAACGCCAGCATAGAAAAACATACGCATCGATCGACGGCCCAACAAAGACATGCCTGCGACCGAGTGACGGCCCATGCATTGAAACGAGAATCACGACGAATAGATCCGAATAGAGCCTCTCTCCTCAACCCCCCATCTCTGCGCCAACCGTCCATCCTAGAATGAAAAAGTTTACCCAGATCCTCACGCGGCGAATCACGCGCTCGACAACGCCTGACTACGAATCGGCTGCGCCCTTTGAGTCCAACTGCTTCCACCAGCTCACATCCACGCGCCTTGCCAAAGGAGACAGCTTCAAGCGCCCTGCGCCTCGCTCCGGCTCCAGTCGCATCCTCGCCGACGACGCTCACTTCGACGACATATGCTGGACATGTAAAGGCATCGACTTCCCAAAAGTCCTGGACTGGCAACCAGGCGACCGACGCCCATGGATCCCTCTCGCCCACACCCTCAGCCCAGAGTTCCCCGACTGCCCCTACTGCTCTTTTTTTCGCCAGCTCATTGGGTTCGATCCGGGCGCCGACGGGTCGAGCAAGTTCACCCCCTACCTGCGTATCCGGCAAGCTTTTGAGAGGCTCGGCGTGAAGGAGAAGCATGAACTGGGAGGCGCCGTCATATTCGAGGTCACGACCAAGAACAAGAGCCTGATGGAGGGGTACATCATCAAGATGGCAGATGACGAGGTGGATCTCGCTGCCTATGAGAGCTGCCCTCGCAGACCTGAGCTTCGGGGACGCACCGTCACAGACTTGGTAGATGCCGCATTACCGAAGACTTGGATCGATTTCTGCAAGGACAACCATACCGCGGGCGATTGTGTAAGATCTGAGCCTCCAGTGGAAGGGCTGCGATTGATCGATTGCGAAACGAACAAAGTGGTCTGCGTTGATGATCTTGACTCAGCGTCGCTAGAATACGTCACACTCAGCACCTCCCTGGGGAATGGTGGACGAGAATTGTTGGAAGAAGACGTCCTCGAAAACGATGTGCCATTGCTATTCAAGGATGCGATCCAGATCACCACCTCTCTCGGCTTTCAGTATCTTTGGATAAGCCAAATCTGCCTCGCCAAGTTGGAGGAAACCGAAAGACAAAAACAACTTGATCTCACCGGCGAAATATTTGCCCAGTCAGCTCTCACAATTGTTGTCGCCGCAGATATTGGTCTCAACGACGGCATTCCTGGAATTAGCACACCGCGCGAACCACAGCTCTCATTGAAAACCCAGAACACCGTTTTTACAACAAGCCTGTTGCGCCCCGATCTAGAAGTCAGCGGCTCTCGGTGGGCTTCGGGGGGCTGGAGCTTTCAGGAAGGCCTTCTCTCCCGAAGACGACTGGTCTTTACCCCATCCCAGATCTATTTCCAGTGCCGCACCCTCCACTGCCACGAAACCCTCTCATTACCCCTTCAGTACGCTCCTGGTCTCAACCTAGGCCGGATATTCCCCGATGGGGGTGCCGGTACTAGACCAGAGGTTCTCAGCAAGCAAATCCAGACGTATCTCACCAAAGACTTCGAGTTTCCGGAAGACCGATTAAAAGCATTCCAAGGTGTTCTTCGCCACTATTCCAAGATCCCCCGCGGGATGAACAACTTCCTTGGCTTACCACTCTTCAATGTGGACGATTTCTCTCAGGAGCCGGTTGCTAACAGGACCTCTCAACTTGCCGTTGCATTAGGTTGGACGCCAGAGCGGGTGTCACCTTCACCCTACCTTGATCCCCTCATCCTCTCACACGAAGGCCACTATCCCTCCTGGACTTGGTTGTCATGGTATCCCCGCCCAGGACACAGTCAGTCCAACCAGACCTTCCGCTTTAATCTGGTTGAGGAGAGCAAAGCGCGCCCCTTGGATGGGGTATCTGCACCCTCAAAGATGAAGATATCCGTTGGCTTTGAAGGCGGGAAAGTCCTATCATGGGAGGATGATGAAACAGCGTTGTCAACTGAGATTGGACCCATCAAGTTTTTGAGGCTGTCCACCTTCTGTGTTGACATTCGGCTCACAAAAGAGGAGGAGAATCTAATCATCATTGGTCTTGGCGTCAATCCCCAAGCCAAGGATGCCATCAAGGGCTGGTTGCGCTCCTCCCACTCTTCTCTCGCATCGCTCGCATCCCCGGACTCCTCGACGACTTCTGACGCAGACTCTTTGCCCAACGGTGAACACAAGCTTACCGGCATACTTCTCTCCGGGCGTGGATGGCGTGGGCCCGCCAAGAAGACCGCCACGCTCCTCATTTGCGGCCCAAAACGTTTGGGAAGCGAAGAAGAGCGCCTGGTCAGACTCGGCTTGCTGTCCATCACATACGCCGACTTCATATCCACCGACGACAAGACGGCAAAATTAGAAGGCGTCGTCTTGAATGATGCCGGGGGCAAGGGCGATATTGATCTCCGAATGCGCGAGGTCGACCTCTACTAATGCGGCCACCCCTGGCTCATCTTTCTCCTTTTCTCTTTATTTTTCCTTTTCTCGTCACGCACACCTCCATTGAGCTATGAGTTGTAGACTAATTACTGGATGCGGATCCTAACAGTTTAATCAGATATTTTTTCTTTGTTCGTATATATACACACGGATACATATACATATACATATACATATACATATATACTATTATGTGTGGGGGAGGGCCGGAGACAAGAGACATGAAACACACCGCAGCGAGCCTGGTTATTGCTTTGTTTCTTTTATTTTATCTATTAGAGAGGGGGGTGTTGGCTACTGATATGTTTTTGAAGAGGGTTGGCATGATTCCTAGAGCTCATGATTACCTATGTATCGTATGTTCAAAAGGTTCGGTTCTGGAAAAAAGGGGAGTTTTACGGTACTTTGCAGGGGTCGCTGTTGACGACGCAAGAATTTTTTAACACAATCGAATTTCCCTCGCTTCATTATTAAAAAAAAAATATGCCTAGCTCATTTCCATAATCAGTCTCTTGGTGAGGTCGTCCTGCACCCAGTTGACGACCCGGCTCCCGACGTCGCCAATGAGCCGGTCGTAGTGCGGCCCGGGGAAGAAGAGGCCGCAGTGGGCGCCCACCTCGTCCATCCCGTCCATGTACACGTCCACCCACGTTCGGTCTCTCACCCCGTTCGTTTTGCCGGGGGTGACGCAGAACTTCTTCCTCTTCTTCTTCTGCTGCTCTCCCTCCCTGGGAGTGGATACTTCGATTGACGGCGAGCGCGGGTGGACTTCCTCGACGGTGGACAGCTTCTCGGCGATCTGCCCAAAGACCTCCTCATTTTGCGTGACCGGCTGGGTTGGCGGATCTGCTGCTGTGTCCGGGCTGTCCCTCTGCTTTTGGGCCTCCAACTGGGCCTCCAACTCCCGCTTCGCCTGCTTCTCTTGCTTGTCCTGTTCTTTCTGGGCCTTCCTACGGCGTTTCTCCTCGATTTTCTGTCTCTCCCGGACGGCGCGGCTGTGGTCCTTGACGGCTTGGTCGTAGGCTTTCTTCTGGCGCTTGAACTCCTTCTCTGCCTGCTTACGTGCGTCCTTGTCCGTGTATTGATCAAAGTCCGGGGTCTCGAGGGGTGTGGGTGGGTCGGGAACGGGAGGCAGGTTGCTATCGGGCGTGCCGATGTGGTCCAGTGTCGTCGTGCTATCAGCTATAGTGGTGGTAGCAGCCGTGGTGATTTGGTCAAGCGTGAAGATGCTGCCTGCCGTGGTGGTGTTGTCAGGCGTGGTGATGGTATCAACGCTGGCCGTGTCGGGCTCTGGTTCCACTTCGACCATGGGGATAGGTTCCAACTCTTGCATAGAGAGACGATTCATATCCCTTTCCACTTCCTGAGTTGCCGGTTGGATCTCGATTGGTGCGAAACCTGCCTCTTTCATCTTGCTCTCTGTGAGAGAGGGGGGGGTTGATAATCCGCCGTCGCTGTTCCCCAGCGTGGAAGTACTAAGTGTTGATGGCCGTATTGAGGGTGCCATCGTGTCTCCTTCCCAGCTATTTCCGGGTTCTATTGATGATGATATAGCTTCGGGAAGTCCCGGTGTGGCTGGTGTCTCCTCTCTCGAGTCCACAGATTTGGCTTCAGGGCTCTTTGGTTGCTTGTGGCGGCCTGAGGAGAGGGTATAGTAGTTGACGAATCGCACCTTGACATACTTTCCCTCGGGGTGCCCGTCATTCAGGGCCTGAAGCTCGTCTATATCCTCAAGTGATCGGATTCTATCATATCGCAAGCGCAACCCCGAAAAGTCAGCAAGACAACCGCCGTACTCTATGTGAGAAAGCACATGTTTCGCAGTGGCATTCATAAGGCCCTCGGACCTATGCTTCTTTGCAAAATTGACGATACGTTTCATAAAGGGAGCCTCCCTGAACGGATTATCGTTGAAGAATGGCGGATCGAACAGGGGATCGGTGGTTTCACGACGGTTGGGGGGCTGATAGCCCACCTGCTCCGAGGGATACTGGTGGCTGGATGGCTCTCCCTGCTGGTCGCCCGGCGGCGATGCGGCGGGTTGGAACAAACTTGATATGCCAGCGACGACTATCCCAGGGTGGAGGCCGAGAAATGGCGTGTCTAGGGCGATGGTGCCCAGGATCCGATGCTTGAATGGATACCTCTGATAGGGACTACGATTCGGCTATATACGTACATGTTAGTGCTTGCCACAGCTTCTCAAAGGTGTCGTCCGTATCTTGGTCGGACAGCGGTGTGGAGCGTACCATCAGAACAACATCTGCAGCGAGAATTCCTCCCATGGAATGGCCAACGAGAATCACGTCTGTAGTGGGTGACTCATGAGGTGCGAGCCATTCACTGAAGTTGTCTCTGGCCACTTCGATGGCGCGATACGTTTTATATCGCGGGTAGACTTTGGAATGAATGACATGGGAGTCTGCCAACGCAGACCGCAGAAAGGCGTGGACATGGTAGGGGAAGGATCTGAAGGACTGGTCATTGCCGTAAAACCCATGGATGTAGATGACAAGAAGTGTTCGACGTTGGTCCGATTCTGAAACTATCGAGCATATTGACTGGGTCGATGAGGTGCGAGGGTCAGCAGAGAGCAGTGAGGAGCCATGGCCCTTGTTCAGGCTATAGGGGGACGGGGCTGGCGATGTGCTTGAGGGTTGTGGTTCATATGGGGGTGGTGGTGGGTAGAGAGAGGATGAGGCTGCTGAGGGAGGTTTCGATGGGGGATGAGACATGATGCAGGTTATCTGTTGGGGCCGGCTGCGAGGCCAGAGTCACCTCCTCTAGAGCGATAACATCAAATGCCTCGATGTCCAATAAGAGATATAACCCCACCAGCAAGGATTCCATGGAAGCTGGGTATAATAATAGTTCTTGGAGAGGTTGATGTGGAGGATAAGAGAATTCCAAACAGGCAGGAAGGGGCGTACCGAGTAAGTTACAACGCTGCTCATGATCTTCGTCATCCAGGAGGCAGGGCGGGGGCGGGGCACCCATGAAATATCACATGTATTGGAGGCTACCCTAAAGCAGAGCACATCGCGGTTGCATCTGTGGCTAAAAAGGATAGTTACAACGGTGCAGGTCGTTGATACACCTTTTAAACCTCACTTGTTTGGCCAGTTGGCGCCTATATGCGTGCTTTCCTATATACTTCGAATACGGCAAACTCTGAATGTGCCAGTCTCCGTTCTAAACACCGTTGGTCTTTTAGTCCATTTAGATCGCCGGTCCTAGTAGCCTGTGTGCCAATGAATATGAACCCAACGCGAAATTCGGTCCGGCTACAGCTAGTTATCATGACCACTAATTGATTATCAGATAACCTATCGGGAGATGCCACCGCAAAGATGAACTAAGCATCTTGGACACGAGCGAGAGCCTTCTTCCATATCGAAAGCAATCTAGGTACTGGCTGGATAACGCTGAAGGCCATACCCCGGCCTGGGCCTGGCCTGGCCTCGCCAAGGGGCTGGACTACTGTTGAACTACCGGGAGTGATCCGCTAACAATTCGTAATGCTTTCGTGTGCTGTGAGGCTGTGTTGCCTGTCTGCTACCCCGTGCGTTGTAGTCGGCAGCCACAATCGGTGACGGAAATAAACCGGGACGGTGTTCCGGGCCAGGGAAGCGCTTGTGCAATGTGTGCTCGTGGGATGAAAGTTCATATTCCTCTCAGGGTGTGAATAACGCCCAAGTACGGAGCACTTGGGTTGTGATGCATATCTTATCAAACCTGTGGTGTCTTGTGGGACCAGTTTCCGGTGAAGAACATTCCGATGCCTCCTACGAGGATGGATGCCGGCGAATGCTGTTGAAAGTGCAAAACCCGCCTGCCCAACATAGATACGGTTTGGAACAAACTTGTTGGAATCTGGATAGGCTTCTTGTTCTCTCTTCTGTTTTTCTCATTAAAGGATGGGCACTCCACATTTATAGGCCCGTACATCAAACATACCTTAAAGGCACCACGTAATCACCTACGTTGTCAATCAAGTAGCTGGTGCACTGATATATCTACGTGTACATACATGATGAATATGCACACACCATATATCTTTGCCAAGACACGTAAGACCAGGACAGGTACTTTGAATTGCCGCCAATCACGTGATTGTGCGACCAGAAAGGGGACCAGGATACAGTGATGGAGAGCGGGTAGCACAGAATAGGGACATGTGGTTCTGGCTATAATTATTTGCAGCCACGCAATCCTTTTTTGGCCTCCCCACCGATGCATTCATGTTTGAGACCAGTTAATTACTCATGGCCCCGGCAGTGAGACATGCACACACGAATCGCGTGGAGAAGAGATCTATCAATATCATAACACAACATGGGCGAGGCGTTCGTCGCCGGGAATGACTGCAGTGCTACGGAGAGGGCGCTAAGGATGGCCTGCCAAGCCCAAACAGCCCACGTAGCCATCCATCTGCACTTGGATGAGTTGTGCATCGTAGGAGGGTGGATTGATGACACTGGAATGTGCAATGGGAATACGAGATGGGTTGAGGGATTCGGGCTGCGGGTGTGCACCTTGCCAGATGGGCCGACTGGGCAGCCAGAAGGTGATTAATTTGGTCTCAGTGGGCATTCCTACAGTGCCAGTAAACAAAGCATCGTTGCGTTGCGGTGCAAATAAGACCATCCCATCACAGTGCAGTGACAGCCAGAAAGCTCCTTGTCGCCTCGGTCGTGGAGCATTTGCGAAAGGGAATTGGGGGCTGTCTTCCTCCGTTGGCGAGGAGCATTATTGATTGCATCGTCAAAAGCACTGGTCAGGTACAGGCACAGGCTAGGCACAGGCCAGGCACAGGCTCAGGCACAGGCACCGGCTCACCAGGGCTCCAGTCAAGGAACCACCTAGCCTACCTCCTGTAGGTAAGCTTCAGGGCACAGACGACACGAGCGACAGGGGCCGCCTGGCGCTAACCCTGCTGGCCTTGGCCCACGCTACATCCGCACCGTTCGGCCGTTTCTTCACGTCGTATTCTCAGGTCGCCTTGCCGTGATTGGCCGAAGCTCGTGCCAAACTTCCTCAAGCGAAATTAGGCCTTCCACATCCCGTAGGTGGCATGTTAGGTTGGCGGTTGTTACGGGGGACATCGTATTATCGGTTGTTCCATAGAACAGCGCAGAGTAGATTTTGCAGCCCGTGCCTCATTTACCGTAGCAGACCATTCCTGACCCGGCCTTACTCATACCTCCCTCTCCCATCGAGGTTGCGTGCTCTGATGGCTCTTCTTCTCTAGCCCACGGTCGCTCATTCATTCATTCCCCCACCCCCTAGGCCAGCATACCTTTGGCCTTCGCTACGCTCTCTTGTTTTCTGGCCCGTTGCTGTGGTCAGACAATTGATGAAATATACCGGCAGCAGTGCTGCGAGCCAGTGTCCCGGGGACATATTCTACCTTTGAAGTTCTCGCCGGACGCAGTGGGCAGAACAGGACGCGAGATCGAGACGAAGGACCTGCCAACACCAAGGGGAAAACTCGAGGGATTAGCGCGCGCCAGCACACCAGAGAGAGGACAGACGGATAGGCAGGAAGAGGAAGACACAGGGAAGTCTGGGAGCAATTGCAAAAGTCGGAGGGACTCAGTTGGAATATATTGGTCCAAAACTCTCGAAGTTTGCAGATCACAAGTCCGACCGACACCCGTTTCGCCCAGGACCATGAATGCACATGCAGTTGGCTGCCGACAACGACACTCATTGAAAGACTAGAATACGTCAAGAAGGACCGACGAAGACCAGCCGCGCAACCAGCCGTCCGGGAATCCACTCATTGCTCTTCTCCCCTCACCCTCTCCTTACTCGGCCTACGCCTCCTGCTTTGGCCTCAATTTCCCACGCTCACATTCATTCATTTCTTGATCCAGCCACTCACTCGACGATTCATTCCTTTGACGCAGCACATCCAAACACACGCAGCACACGCACAAGCACACCGTGTGCCATTGAGCCTGGACTGGACGCTTGCCCCTGTGAAGCGCTGTGGCACCGGTCTGATTAGCTGCTACGTAATAGTGGGTGGCAGCCATTCCGGGGCCACTAAAACGACCTACGCACCCTAAACAGGATCTAGTTGGTGCGGCGCTGCTCTTGCGCACGCCACCCCGGAAGCCAGCCATGACTAACGACCAGCAACCACCGCCGCCTGCAGAGCGTGCGGCTGTACTTGTGCCGTCGCTCGCCCCGGCCGAGCATGACGACTCCGTTCCTTTTCAACACTCCCCTCGCTCCAACCAAGCTGTCTCGGAAGACACTGCCTCCCACGCTCATTCCCACTGGCAGTCTCATCTCCGCCGTCGCTTTGCACATTCGCGCCAGCATCTGTCCTCGTTTTCGACATCATCTCCCGACCACGAGCTTGAGACTGCCGACGATTCGGACGCGAACAACCACGACGCCGACGATCTTTCCCTTCGTTCAGATAGCCCAGAGGCGCAACAAAACCACCGAATCGACCAATCCCCCAAGGCGGATGCAGATGCCCGGCCCGCCGATTCGGAACCTTCTCTCGTTCCCCGGGTCGTCCAGACCGTTGAAATTGTTCGTGTGGTAGACTCACAGGGCCAAGTGATAGAGACCCAAACAATCTATCCATCTGCCGACTCCGGCACCACGGATTCTCCTGCGGGAGAAACCGCCGTCATTTCAGCTCCAGGTTCTTCGGGGACCGCTGCCCCAGGGACCGTCCCCGGGGCAAGCGACAGTGCCCCGTATCCCACCACCACCTCGGTGCGCTCAGATGCAACGGCTTCGCCCAACACTGCGACGGCTTCTGCAACATCTTCAGGAGACACACAATCTCTTGCACCCACCACGTCTGGTACCGGCCTGCCGATTATGTCCGCGTCTATTCCTTCGCTATCCACCATTTCTACCTCTCTTCCCTCGCAAAACGCCACCAACAGTATGTCCTCCCGGTCAATTGACAAGGCCATCGATCACTTCGTTTGGACAAGCTAACTGATTCTGTCACAGCTCCTATCTCTAGCAACTCTTCCTCGACATCTAGCCCGACCACACCTGCTAGCACGCCGACACAGTCTTTGACAATACTCTCGTTTTCTTCTACTCCGACCTCTTCGACATTGACAAGTTCAGAGTCAACGATTTCAAGTTTCACCGAGTCCTGGTCATCTTCAGACTCTGAGTGGTCGTCATATCCTATCGCGACTGGTAGTGGTGTTGGGCGAGGGAGAAATGGGGGAGGAGGAGACAGTCCAGTTTCCACCTCAACCGCGGCCGGCGATTCCAATGCTGGTAGCAACAGTGGTGGGGGTAGCGGCGGTATCAACCTGACTCAGCAGGAAAAGCAGATTGTCGGTGGCGTTGTGGGTGGTGTTGCAGCTGCCGCATTTTTCCTTCTCTTCATCTTGATGGCAATCAAGTGGAAGAAGAGGCGTAATGACGTGCAGGAACTAATCGGTGAGGGTGGCATCGGCTCACGTGGTCTTCCCTCACCCCGCGGAGTTGGCGGAGGCGGGGATGCCCCTCCCATGGCTCAGCGCTCCTCATCTTTCGGCGTTGCAGGCGCTTTCGCTAGCTTTACTGGCCGCAAGAGCCAGCCTCCACCACCCGAAGAATCAGGCGAGAGGGGCTTCTATCGCGTTTCAGGTCGAAAGCTGCCTTCTGTCTTGCAACACGGCGGCGATGGATACTCCGACCCCAGGCGCCATAGTACCGGGAGCGGGTCAACTGGGTGGCATCGAGGATCCCAGGCTTTTGAGCCTTCAACTACATCGCCTCTCCAGCTGGGATCGCCTATGCGCCCTGTGAGCGGAGTTGCGATAATGCGTTCTGGCCCTGCCCGTACGCCAGTCACAGAGCAAAACCCATTTGCTGACCCTCCCTCACCCACGAGTTTTCCGCTACCGCCTGACACCCACAGTTTTGACCGTGGCCCTCACGACGAAAGGGGAGGCCCAGCAGGGTTCAAATTCCAGGAGTCGATTTAATCACGATGTCGGGAATTTCCCGTCACTTCCACTCATTTAGCGCAATTTTCTCATGTATCGGCGCGGACCGAGCCCTGCATTTCTCATTTTCATTCTGCACCATCAGAGCGTAGAGCTTGGCGTTGGATTATCATTCTATTCATTTCATGGGAAAATTTGGCCTACTGATAGATATCAAGGAACAGCTATATAACCTGAAGGAAACAGCCATTTCCCTCAGGGTGTTAATTGTAATTTTTGGTGTACTGAGGCGCAATTACGACTTGGCTGGCGCTGTGGGTGGTGGACTTGGCCTGCTATATATGTCTTCACAAATACATATACATATTGTGGGTTGGAGCCCATGACACTATCATGTACATAGAAAAAGCTTGTGGGCTATTTTCCCTCAATGACACAAACCTCTTCACAGGGTTGAGATATTTGGCTCAGCCATTACAATGAAGCTAACCACGATGCTTATGTGAGATGACCGAGTGCCTTCAGCTGCCTAGTGCTTTGGACCCCATCTCTCCATATGGAAATAGTTAAGCAGAACGACTAACTTAAAGGCGGCATTATTTTTGGAAATTGTGGTTTTGATGTTGAGTTGGCTGAGTGAGATGGTCGGATGGTTGTATTACTTGAGGTTTTGTCATTGGGGTGGCTCAGTCTGAGGCTCTAAAACCATTGCAAACTAAAATCTTGGGTCAGATCTATGCTTCGCAGATCTGCAACAAGGCGCTATCGATTTCGATCTTGTCATGGTGGATTTGTCAGCGGAGGACGAACACAAGGGGAATCGTATTCGTCTTTTGACGTTCCAACCCTGAGGGCGTGAGGCCGGGGAGGCTGAGGATCATGTCTAGAAACGCCCGTGTGCATAGAGTAGAGCTACCTCGTGCAGGATGGGAAGAAAGAGCTTGATCTTGCCGTCCAATGATATCATCAACCCCCCATATTTTGAGCTCTGGGTTTCGTAGGAGCTTGGCACTCGTATTCTTATTGCTCCTGTCCTCTTATTGGCTCGTTGCCGCACAGTAGAGGACCGGGTGGCTCCGGACGGCGTGGACATCGCTCTGGGCGATGAGAGTCGGCCATGGATCTAAGCCACTGGCGGGGATCATGTAGACGCACTGCCAGTGTGATGGCCATGAAACATGGATTGATCCCGGCGCAACCGGCAGCTTTGCCAGCGGTGCATGCCGAGCTGGCTTCCTTGGCCAGGACCCTGCCCGAGCAGTTGCTCAATTCTGATTCCTCGGGAACGGGAACTTGAGGGCTCGACAACGGCGCAGGGCATCGAAAGGCTCTGACTGACATATCGTGGCAGGGCCCAGCATTGTGCGTCAATGTCATTCTACCTGCAGGGTCAGGCAGGTCGAAGAAAGAGCGTACAGATTGCCTACATCCAAGTCCGTCAGTTGGTGGGTTGCACCCTCCCTCCATCGCACCTTCCCCACCGTTCCGCCGTTCCAGGCTGATGGGCGTTTATAGTGCGGAAACTGAACCCCACCCCTGGCTTTCCTTCCTACTTTGTCAATCGCGACGACGTCTCACTCTTAAATATTTAAATTTCCCTTGTACGTCTCCCTCTTTGCTTGCTAATCCGACCAGTCTCCTTCCCCGGTCCAGCATGGGAACGTTCCTCGACTTCTGCGACCTTGTTTTCCGCCCCGAATATATATATCAATCAACGGCTGGTTCGGTGCCTGAGTCGGCTTAACGATGGGGCCCCGGGCTTTTTAGGTGCATACACCCTCAGCAGCTCGTGCGCCGATCTTATATCCGCCATCCTCGAGTCCGCCACTCCATTGACGAACGCCCTTCACGACCTTACGATACCTCCTAGGTTTCCTTATTTTCGAGAACGAATCAGGCGAACCGATCATACCGCAATTGATAAGTCGCAGAACAGCCTCCGCTGGCGTATCCAATATCATGGAGAGCCTCGGTTTCCCCATGCCTGGGGCTGGTATGCCCGGGCTGAACCAGCAGGACCAACAGCGGAAGCAGCATTCTCAAGCCTATGGAAACATCCTGCCAGACGGGTTGCCATTGGTTCAGCCTCTCCCGCTTGATTATTCCCGTCAATTATACTCGGACCCTCAAGTCCAGATGGCGATTGACGATCCCCAAGATTCCAAGAGAAGGAGGATCGCAAAGGTGAGTTTTTCAACAGGCTCATTAGGAGGAAGAGTGCCGTGACCAGTTGGCAACGAGATACTGATGGTGGTACTTGTCCCCTGGTGCATAGGCATGCGACATGTGTCGCAAGAAGAAGATCAAATGTGACGGGAAAATGCCCGCCTGCACACAGTGTCTCAACTACAAAACCGAGTGTATCTTCACCCAAGTGGAGAAGAAGCGTGCTCCTCCTAAGGGGTGAGTGCTAATCATGGCGCTTTCTTAGTCCCAATGTTGTTGATATTGACGTCGCATTTCTGGGGCTAGAGCCAAATATATCGAAGGCCTTGAGAACCGACTCAGTCGAATGGAACATCTTCTGAGGTTATCAGGTGCGCCTTCTTACTCGATTTTGTCACTATCCTGCTTTTGTGTGATAGAAATTCTAACAGCCACTCTCTCGGGTTTCAGGACTATTGGACGAGGATGAGGAAACCGACCTGGGCGTTCTTGAGAAGAAACTAATGCAGATGCGCCGGGAATCAGGGCAAGACTCCATAACAGCTCTCTCAGCACCTTCGTCGCCCACTTTGGTTCCATCCACCAATGAGGGCAGTGATTCCCCTCCACGGAGTCTTGATGCAAGATCAGATGTCTCGAAGACGCGAACGAGTTTGTCCGTTGATGAAGGGCGCAAATCCTTTAGTTCAGATGACCCTAAAGCTGCGACGGAGGAACAAGTCGAGTCTTTGTCTGAGATGATGTGTTCCCTGGTAACAAATAACACCGGGGAGACGAGATATATTGGTTTGCCTTTCCTTGTATTGGTCATTTCAACACCTGCTTACCCGATCCTAGGTTCTTCTTCCGGGTTTTCTATTTTCTCTCCCAAGGGGATCGAGTGGGTCAATTCGAAAACAGGAGACGGTTCATTCCAAACCATGATCACCGAAGTCTCTGTTGATGATCACAAATGGACCAATTGGAAACCTGAGGTCTTTGCTGATGTGTTTCGGCGACCCGTCTTCCGTCATCTCCCACCCAAAGAGGAAGCGCTGTCTCTTCTTCAGGATTATTTCGAAAATTTCAATTGCATGTGCCCTTTGTTTCACCAGCCAACTTTCATGCATCTCGTCGAGCGGCAGTACTCGTCAGACCCTTATCAAGGCTCTGGCTGGTGGGCTAGTCTCAATTGCGCTTTGGCTATCTCCCATCGATTACGATTTATGAGCAATCTTGGATCTGAAGACGAAGATGCTAGGGCGTGGGGCCATATCAAGAATGCTTTGGGTGTTTACTCCGAACTTACGATGCGGAATACTGATCTATTGAGTGTTCAAGCTCTGACAGGAATGGCACTTTTCATGCAAGGAACACCCAATCCACAGCCGAGTTTCTTGCTGGTGGCAGCGGCTATTCGACTGTCTCATACCATTGGGTTGCACAAACGGGGCACTGGGTTCAATTTGAACCCCATCGAAATCGAGCAACGGAAGCGAGTTTTTTGGATCGCATACATGCTCGATAAGGACCTCTGCCTTCGTGCTGGACGACCCCCTGCACAAGACGATGATGATATGAACGTCGACCTACCTGACGAGGATCCTCCCGACTGTATCGGGAACATTCCATTGGCTGACGGAAAGGGCAAGATGAATCTGTTCCGCGTTATGTGCGAATTCTCCGTTATTGAGAGTAATGTCTACAAACGACTGTACGCAACCAAGGCAGCGAAACAATCGGATGGAGAGCTTCTTAGTGCCATCGGAGAGCTCGACCAACAGCTTGAGGACTGGAAGAATAAAATCCCAACCGATTTCCGCCCAGAACACGAGATTAGGGCCAGCCACACCCCTCTAATAATACACGTGGTCATGCTGCACTTCGCCTACTACAACTGCCTCACAACAATTCACCGAATGTCTGTTCACCATGGATTTTGGACCAGTAGATTGTCCAACTATGCGCTTCAAGGACTGAACACTCGTGCCTTGAATCCGCGGGTTTACTCATCTGCTTCGCTCTGCACAGGTGCTGCAAGAGCCTCAATCTCCTTACTGAAATATATGCCCCAAGGAGACTTCAACTGCGTCTGGTAAGTGTTATTGGGCGCGACTTTACTTTTAATTCTGCTGATGCTGACGGGTTGTCAAGGATGATCTTATATTTCCCAGTGTCCGCATTGATGACACTCTTCGCTAACATTTTGAACAACCCACTGGATCCAAAGGTGAAGAGTGATATTCGGTTGATGAACTTAGTTGTTAATTTCCTGTCTATGCTCGGTCAAGAAGCAGAACAGGGTGGTGTGCATCGCATGCTGGGTGTGTGTTCTGAATTCGAACGAATCGCGAAAATAGTCGTTGAAAAGGCTGAAAAGGAACCTCGACGCAAACGCAAAAATGCTGATGAATCTTCCAAGGGGACGCCCTTAACTGCTTCGGATGCATCGATTACCTCAGCTCCAACTTTGAGTACTAGCATGAGTGAACAGACAAAGTCCACTCCCCGAACCACGGTAGCATCCACGCCAACACCTGCGGCTTCAAGCACAGAACCAATCAACACTCAAGACCGGACACCACGATATTCGAAACATGGCCATGATGAGCCTTCCCATATACTTGGAACGGGTTTTGGAGCTAGCGCGGATCCGTCCATCTCAGCGACTTGGCCAAATGATTTCTCTCTGCTCGGAGGTGGAGGCTTTGAAGCCTTTGGCGACCCCTCAGCCTTTTCTTCAGGAACAGAGATACCTGGTAGTGATCCAGGAGTGTCTTTCTCGCAGCCTCTTTTACCACAAGACCTTTTCTCATTACCGATGTCACTGGACTGGAACTGGGCGGAACTCAGCGGTGGAGCATACCCTACTGTTGAGAATGGAATGTTCGGCGGAAATATGCAGGGCCAGCGTGAGCAGTAACAAGACACTAGAAAAAGAAAACACACCTGAGTGTGGGACGAGGATAATAAGTAACTTGAGCCTCATGTAATGTGCAAAGTACATGTTTTGATCTGGGAATATTGTAAGCGTTTAGGAACTTGGGTATGGGCGAAATGACAATCACAATGTGTTCATGGACAAGGAGTAGTGTTGATTTTTGTTATTTTCTAAAAAAAAAAGTTGTCAAACCATGGGCACCGATTGATGTGGGAATTCTACTGGTATCTACACCACCATCAAACCCAGCCTCATGGGAGAAATTTGCAATTGTCTGAATTTGCTCCGCCTCGGGAGTTTGTTCAGATCCTGTTGCTCAGTACAAATATATTCCAAGCAGCCCTGATTGATCTGTCTGGTCCACCCCGATTCGCTTCCAACCCCCCGTCTTCTTCTGCGTTGCATCTTTAGTTTTGATATAATAAAGCTGTAAAAATTCCACAAGGATGAAAGAGGAAAAAGAGAGCAAAGAGAAAAAAAAAAAGAAGAGAGAGCGGAAAACATGCCGCTCGTGTCCCCAAAATGGAGACAGCAATGCACAAAAGCCAAAACCCAAAAAAAAGACAATGTAGGATGATCGAGTAGTTGAGAATGATGAGAGAGAAAAAAAGGGGGAACTCCTTGATCCCCCCTTGACCGTCGAGCCCCCCCCAAATGTGAGTGTCATCCACTTCCTAAAACGCCGTGCTTGATTAGAGGAGAAAGAGGCAAAATTTGCGAGAAGAGACGGAATGTCCCCCTTTTTCCGTCAATATGCATGAATCCAGCCGTCCTGCCTGACTCTGCCTGGGACGCCTCTTCCTTTTTCGTGTATCGTAAAAAAAAATCCTGTACAAGTTACCAAACCAAATTCAAACCATTTTCCCACCCATGCGTGCAATGAATCCCGTGGAGCCAATGTGAGTGTTGTTCCCAAAGGGAGCTCCATTATTTGGCTCCGACGGTGTGAGGATGACAAGACTAGAAGAAAGAAGAAGAGAGAAAGAAATGTTGGCGGAAATGGCTTGTGGCCAGCCTTTTCAGGCACCGACCATTCCCGGACCGTAGCTCTGTTGGCGCATAGGGTTCGGGTATGGCGATGCGTTGCCAGCGTTCTAATTGAAAGTTAGATGCTTCCAGCGTGAAGGTTTGGAGAATTAATATGAATACGAACCTTCTTTCGTCGCTTTTGGGACCCTTCACCTTCTCCTGTCGAGTATCCAGCAGCGTCATCATCATCGGCGTAGCCCCTATAACCGTCATAGCTGTCCGGTTTGTAACTTCGCTTGTTGCCGCGCGTCCTGCTCGGATCCTGTCCTGCCGCAAGCTGCTGCTTGGACCGTGCGATGTTTGTAGGAGTCGATCCTCCCAATGGAGTGCCTGGCGTAGCCAGCTTGCTCCCTGATAGCCTCGAGCCATCACCGGTAAAGGGTGCCAAATCCCCCAAAACCGAGGTGTCCCACACGTCCTTGGGCAACGACCCCTTCGCCATGGTCATCGCGCGAGGGAGAGCTGCCAGGGTGGCGTCCGATAAACCTCGTCCGATTTCGCGGTTGTTAACCTCGAGAGAATGCCAGTCTTCATCTGCGGCGTATACCAAGGCCATGAACTCAGAGTGAGCGCCCTCAGGCTTCTTGTGTTCCCCGAATGAACCGGCCACCCCTAATCGCTTCAAGTGACCCTTGTATGTCTTACGCAGTGCATTCTTTTCGCCATTCGGCTTTTCTCGTGCGACTTGGGAAGCGAGGCCGGTCAGATTGAACATCTCGTACAGATCCTCCGTCATTCGAGGTAGCGATTCGAGATGCGCTGCAGGATAAGCTAGTTAACAAACACTGTCTGGACCAAGAAGCGTGCAACAAGGGGCTCGCTCCGTGGCGGGCAGGTGAGAAAAGAAGCAGAGGTAGTCTTACGAGTCTGGCAGAGCAGGTACTTCTCGCCTACATCAAGATGTAGGTCCTCGATGCCTAGCCTGTGCCCCTCGAGTTGGACCTTTTTCGAGTCACGTTCACCCTCGTCCTCGAGAGCGCGCTTGCGCTTGTTGGGGGAGTCATCGTTGGCGGCGATGTCAGTCTGGGAGGTGCTTCCGGTGACGCTGTGCGCGGGAGTAGGGAGGGTGTTGGCGGTCATCGTCGTTGAGTTCGGATTGATGGCGTCAGAAGAATTTGCTGGTGAAACTTGCGAAGGGCTTTGGGGAGTTCGTGGATGGAACGACATGATGGAGATGCCCTCGAATCAAGGGGGTGTAATGATCGTGTGAGGCGAGTCGCGCCTAGGTCGCCGACCAAGGTGCCGAGTCGCTCCGCTCAGGTAGCCGTCATGCAATGTGCTGATGTCAAATTTCCTCCTTGCGCTGACGGCGGTGAAATGGCGGGAAGGGCGGAGGGCAGCACCACAGTCGAAAATGCGCTGGGGAGCCGTATCGGAATCGTAGGGTCGCTGGTCCCGGAAGGTCGCTTTTAGGGGGGGGTTTTCCGTGGATGGGGTGGTGTTTGAGGGAGATTGATGAAGTGGCTGCGAGGTGGTGATGGAGAGATGAAGGTGGAGTTGAGAAGAGGGAAACTTCGGAGCCTGAAAGACTAGGCAGTGGCAGCGTCTAGTGGCTGTCAGTGCCTGTTCAGCGCGGGCGGGCGTGCATCGGACGCACTCACACCACACAAAGACCGCCACACAGGGGCGTGGGAACAGGCCCAGGCGCGATCAGGGGCCCACCTCACCGGGCCCACCGTCCGTCTTCCACCAATGGGCACCGCCCGACACTCTGCGCTGGGCCGAGTCACATGACCCGCGGTGGAATTTTACGGCCGCCCTTGACGGTTGGGTACAAAAGGAAGTCACCAGGGCGGATTTTTCTCCCCTCTTCTCTCATACAATTAAAATCCAAAGCCACCACGCTCGCTGTATATTTTGCTCGCCAGCCTACCATGACTCTGGTCAACTCCATGCTGCTGACGACTCCGACGCCGTGGCCAGAAAAAGCCTATAACCTTGCCAAAAACCATCATCACGAGGGCCCCTCGTGCGGCTGCCATGATGCGGTGATGACCTGATGCAAGTAACATACCAACTTCCCGTCTGATATGATGGCATTTTCCATAGAATGGCCTCCGGCCAAGCCATTCCACTTTCAGGCAATCATACCCACCAATGCCATCCAGCTACCCTTTTGTTTCCGCTGCCATCGGCACTTCCACGTGCACTGTATTTTTCATATTAATCGGCCCATCCTTTCCGCCCCTCTCATTCCATTGTCGTTTCAGGGCCTTTGTTGTCCCGACACACACAAAGGTGAGCAGCAGCCATTGTGCGTCTTCTCCTTCCCGAACATGCATGACCACCCGCCGGCTCCCACTTGATGAGATTTTGAACATCTGGTAAACCGACCATCCACGGATGTAGTTTGCGACCTGGCCGCCCTTGTGCGCCACGCGTCGCTAACCGCCTGGTTGCAGGAGGAAACACCACGGCAATTTAAATCTGAGCTTGGGCCACGAATCTTAGCCAAGAATATCTCGTTTCCATACGCTCCAGGGACCGCGGCTAATAGTTTCACTCTCCGCCAAGTAGATCTAGGACCTATATTTGAAAAGTGCCGTCCTATTAGAACCACGTCCGCGTATGTTAGTCCCGGACAAGGTGACACAGCGTACCCCGTAAACTCCAGAGCAAGACTAAGCGTGCCCTTCACTGTCTTCGCCATCTAGGGGGACGATCGATCAAGGCGGCTCCCGGATCTTCACCCTCCTCCAAACACCAACCCCACTTTTTCCCGCGGATCAGTTTAGGTAGTATGACCTTCACCATCTGCCAACGTCATGTGCCACACTCGGCTAAGGGCTATCGCTTTTCGGTGTCTCAATAATACCCAGAGGACTTGTTTGATATGTCTACAACATGGCCTGTTCGAAAACGCAACCCCAAGTCACGCGTGTCTACCTGCCATAAGTCCATGACGTCCTACTCACAATGTTGTAGCGGAACATATGGCTGGTAGGAAGGTCAGCCATCCCACCCTGTCGGAAATTCTGAGATTTCAGAGCCACCAAATCGAGGCGTGGACGTCGTACACGCCTGAGTAGATTGCGGAGAAGTTATTCTGGGACACTGCTGTTGTGAAAACATAGCACGTGAAACCAAGACAATATAATAGGCACAGGATCTCAAACTTGGCAGATGGGTGAGTAGCGCACAGTTTCATAGTATGTGAATAACCCAGACAGGTAAGTACTGCTTGCTCGGATAGCGCCCCCTGGGCTCCATATCTGCGAGGACGAGTGGTATGTTCTACTCCGCAAAAACCAAACCAACCAACCCCACTCCAAACAAGAACACCGAATAACCACATGGATATATATACAACATTCAATGCTCCGACACCCAATCCATCAAAATTCATCAAAATCATCTTTCACGCAATGCTGTTACCGTCTGGTTTTGCAAAGGAGAAGTGTCAAAAAAAAACCCCGAGCCAAACACCCCGTGTTGTGAAGGCGAAATGTGGTCCCTGGGGCCAAACACACCCAGCCCAGACCGAAAATCCAAACCCAATCCTAAACCTAAAACCTAAACCCAAACCCATGCAAGAAAACGGGGAATCAAGTGTGGAAATATATACACACGAAAGTGAAAAGAATAAAAAATGGTTGAAACATGAGCAACATAAGAACGAGACGCCAATGGCCTCCCGTGTGAATCCGGTCCCTAAATAAAAGATAAAAGCCCCTTAATTGTTGGCGTATGGCAAAACGGTTGGCTCATAATATCCGCCCAGCGGAGGGTTAGAACTGCCATGTTGTTGGTAGCTCGCGGCAGCCAGAGCTTGGGCTGTCGGGAGAGAGTGGTATGGGGAGCTGTCCCGAGATGACCGCGTGATAAGACCGTTTGAGTCCGGAATTTGAGGCGGGGGGTAACTTGTAGGGTACATCGAAGGGTTCGTGTATTGGGGAGAGCCAGTGCGATCCTGGCCTGAAAGTCCCGAGGTCTCAGTTGATGAATGGCCGCCTGGCCGGTATTGATTGCCTGGTTCAAGACCTGCCGAGAATGTTGTAGCTGGAGTGAATCGAGTCCTGCCGTCGAGCCCAATTCCTGAAGGTGAGTTAGATGGTCCGGCTGTTAATTTGTTAGACAACCGGAAAAGCAGCCAAGGGAGTTGTCATTGGAAACCTACCAGGATAGTATTCTCCGTCATAGCCACTGCTCGGCGCTGGATACATGGGTTGCTGGCAATCAGCCATGGATGAGTGAGCAGAGTTGGCTCTGGGACGAACAGCTGAGTCCCTGAAGTGAGGAGAAGGCAAGGGGCGAATCCCTTGGAACGGAGTCGACATTCTAGAGTTGGTGCCCAATGACGATGTGATATAATAGGGGAACCTCTCGCTAGAGCTAGATGAAAGATTCGAGGCCACGTCTGAATTCCCTGCCCCGTGGCCGAATCCTACACCGTCGAAAGGTGGGGTGAGGCCTGGGGATGTTCTTCCTTCCAAGTTGGAACGCCGTACATCTACCATCAATTGCCTGGCCATCGGTCCCCGATTATAGCCTTGTTGACCGAGATCTGGAGATGTTGATAGAGAATGAGCATAGCCATGGACGGCTCCGTAGGGCGAGTGTAACGCTTGCACGGTATCAAACTCGTCAGGGACGGCTCTCATCCGGATGACCCTATCACGATCTTCTACATTCAGACGCTTGATCTTGGCCCGCCTTTTTGTGACAAGATAAAGTCAGTATTTTTGCCATTGGCAAAACTCGGGGGTGCTAAGGGCTTACCTGTTCTGGAACCAGACTTGTACCTGGCGTGGGCTTAGCCCAGGGATTTGCCTGGACAACCGGTCACGGTGTGCCGCATCTGGGTGTGGCTGTTTGACGAATTCGCTCATGAGGAAACGGGTTTGTTGATGGGTAAGTCTTTAGATTTCCCGAGTTAGCACGCCTTTTGTCAGGAGTCCTCCATTTTGTGATGGTCCCTCCCATACCTGAATCGCTTCATTTTCCGACGCGCGGCGACTCGCTCCGAAGCGGACCGTAGTCGCTGTGAGTGCTCGCTTTCACCATCGAAGAGATCGTCGTCGTCCATGCAATCATCGTCATCGTCTTTGAGACTTGTCTCGGTCCTTGGGACTACGGTGATCCCTCCCGATTCATTACGCTCTGGCAGATTGCCCCCAGAACTAGAAACGTCGCCATGCACAAGTGCCCGGGCACTTCGTTCAGAGAGTGATGCCTTGTAAGCGGTTGGTTGTGGAAGAACTGCGCCTGAGAAAGATGAGACGCGAGGCTGGTTGCTCTCCAGGTCAGGGATCGCTGCGGTTTTCTCTACCACGGCGGGCGGCGACAAGCGGACTTCTGATTTTGCGCCCTCGTCTGACTGTTGGTCAGGATACCGTGACTGCCATCCCGACTGCCTTGATGACAGAGAAGATGCAAAAAGGGTAGACATGCGTGGGCTTGGTAGTCCTCGTAGAGGCTGGCTTGGCCTATCCAAACGCCACAACGAGTGCTCCGTGTCGCGAAACTGAGTCGCAAGCATTAGGAGAAGTTTTCTGCTTCTGTGAACAAAGAACGAAACTGGGTATCGTAACCAGAGCTCTGCGAAGGTTGCAGGAAGCTCAAGAGAGTCTAATAAATACGGCAGGCGGCGGAGATCAGTTGTAGTCGTCGGCAATATTGCAGGGTCGAGTAAAGAAAATTGCCCAGAAATTCTTCCTGGCCAGCAGAGGGAGGGGGATGACAAGGAGCGGCGAGGGGTAAGTACCCGAATCGTGATGAGAGCCAGCTATAGAATTCGTCGAAGGGCTGAAAAAACACTTGGCTCTTAGACTAAGATAAATAAAGTCGTTGCTGGGTGCCGTTTCCGGGGGTATATGCCGAGAATCAACTGGCGGTAAGTATACAAATCAACCCTCGTGGGAACGTTAGAAGATTGGTGGTGGAAGGTCAAGAACAGGAGAAGAGTTTATTTTTGAGAAGTGAAGTGACGTGGGAGGGTGGCACTTGTATTGATCAAATACACGAAAGCCGGCCGGGGAGGTGAACGATGCCAGCAGCTGTCTGTCGAGAGATGAGGGACAAGGGGTGGACACGGCAGGCGGAGGTATAGTATGTATATTAAAGCATGAGTGACATGAAGTAGAGGACGGATGACCCGGTCACTATCTGTGAAGGGAATTTTGTATAAGTGCGCCCACACAAGGCGGGTGGGCGGGCGGACAGGCGAG